TGTGAAAAATAAAAACAATACAGCTATAAATTGTGAGGAAGACGAAGAAGATGAAGACGGAAATGATGAAGAAATTAGCAAACCTTCATATGATGAAATGTTAAAATCATTTGAAACAATTCGACGTGGATTGCAGTTTGAGGAGAATACGCCTGAAGGAATTTTTGGTGCATTACAAAAATGCGAGACCTATTATGAGAAAAAACACTTTTACAAACAAAAAACTCAGACAAAATTAACAGACTTTATCAATAGTAATTAAAATTAAGAATGCATGGGAATATGTATGTTTAAAATTACATTTATAATAAATGCAGCAATAATTTTAATAAATAAAAATTTAGCATTTTTATTCAGGGGAAAATATATGTAGCATGATAGTATAACACACTGGATAATGTTTTGTTCTATTCTTACTTTCATTGCAGATTTCTTTTATGGGTTAGATTTATAAAATAATTAATTGATAATAATTTACAAGATAAAGGTGTATCAATTGCAATTTTAATTATTTCTAGTATCTGTGAATTTAAAACCTATTCTACGTTGTGTAAGTATTTCAAAAGATGATTTTCTATTTAACGAATTTTCCATATAACGAACTTTTCTTCGGGATTTAGCGACTTCGTTAAATAGAGGTCCGACTGTATAGGTATAATATCTTAGTTTTAATAATATTTTTGAGCCTTAAATGCTTTTTTTAATATTTTTTTTATGCAGTATCGAAGTCCTCGAGGTAACTGAATCATACCAGTTGCAAAATTTAGATTCTTCTTTTTGCATTAATAAAATGAATGCAGCACTAAAATTAAGACGTATGATTTACAAACATGCAGTCAGAAATACAAGTAGACATAAGTACTGCAGAAGCAACAAGAGGTTGAATCCATTCAATGGTTGGTTTACATATAGTAACATCTCATTAACCCATTAATACCTGATTTTTTTATATGCCATAATGCAAAAATAAAGCTATTAAAAGGTGTTTTTTTAACTATATGAATATTTTCTTCTGTTAGCTACAAATTGATTTTTGAAGAGAATAAAAAACATTTGCTTGGTGTTAAAACTATCTTGTTTCGGAACAAAAATCCTTGTAATTCGCGTGACTTGGATGTTACTATCCTTCAACACGGGTTAATTATTTGATCATTCACTATTTCAATTCTTAATGGCCCCTTGTATAGACGTAAAAAATAGTAATTAGTGAAAATTCTTATTCTAGCTTCAAAATTTCTTATGACTAAAAGTTCATACCTAGACAAGGTTTTTTGAAATTCAACTGACAAATTCAGAGGGGTGATCTCTGAGAAAACTCTGAAAAACTTGCATGGAACATGAGGTCACAAACCATATAGAGAGGTTAAGAATTGCGAAAAATTTACGTAGGCTGTGAATCTAGAACCTGGATCTCTGAACTTATATTAATCACTTGAAGACTATTGGCTTTAAATTGCTGAGAATCTTACGATCGATAGGATCTCGAAGATAATCAATCTCTTTTTAGTTGTTTTCCAGTGCAAAATTAAAACCTACATAAGTTTTTCCCCCCCTCAATGATTTATAAGGCCTTTATCAAGGTAATCCATCTTTTCTGGTCTTTGGCTGCAGCTCTAATGTTTCCCAAGTGTTCTTATTTTTAGTTTTTAAAGATTAAGAAGGTTAGAAAAATTACACTCACACACATCTCTTGGCCGTAGTAGCACAGATACAGCAGAACAATTTGAAATACATGGCTCAGATGGATCTAAAACAATAAGGCGATAACCTTGTCCTTGTGCAACCCATACATTAGCAAAGTCTGTTAATGGCTAAACATAAAAAAAAAAGAAGAGTTTATTAAAAATCTTCTTTAAATTAATTAAATGATGTAAAATAGGAACCATTCTTAAAAAAAATTATCTCTAAACAATAAGAAAAACTACAATAAACAAGATTTAATGGTAAAAATATGCAGTTTAGAATTTTATTTCTTTTAAAGTATACAATTTTTCATCATTTATTTTGGGTGAAAATAGCTTTTTAAAATGTCTCAAACAATTTTAAATTTGTTTGATTCCATTAAAAGAAAGCAGTTATAACAATTTAATTGCATCCTAAGTTTTAAGAAGAACACTAGTTAAGACTGGTAATGAAAGCCCATTTGGAAGCCTAAACAATTGTTTCATTTACAATTTTTAAAAATTTATATTTTATTTAAGCTATATACTGAAAATGAACATTTGTAAATGCTATGTTAAACATTAAGAACAAAATGAGAAATTTTCAATAAAAATATTCATAATTTGTTTTATTATTTATTCTAGAGTTATTTTAAAAATTTAGAGCGCATGATAATATTATTAGTATTTTATTCTACAGGTGTTCTAATTAGACTGTTTTTTTTAATTTTTAAAAACCTCTTTTAACAGGAAAATGGTTAAAGTTACAATAAAACTTTGTATCAACTTCCTGTAATAGAATATACATATATTTTCCTCACAGAGTTTCTGATTTTAATTCAAAAGTGTTTTGACAAATGATACTGCAAGTAATAAAACTGAAAACCAAAGAAAATAACAGCACAATTTTTTAAACTCTTTCATAGAATGAAAATCCCACATCATGATATTTTCGAACCGTCCACCATCAACCACAATAATATATCATAATGAGGAGACTGTTTAAATATTATGTATGTATATATTTGGTATATCTGTATCCCTCTCCCCCCATGTAAGCAAATCACAAACTGCCTCCCATGCATATGCAAGAAAGTTCTGGTGCTCTGGAGAAAAAGCTTTGTCATATTTATTGCAAAAAAAAAAATTTTTTTTTCTGGTTGTAAAATTTCGAAAATTGTTACTGTAATTTAAGATACCCTGTATCTAACTCATTTATTTCATCAAACTTTATAATCATAAAAAAAATCTTCAAATAATCTGCTTTTAATAATGCTTATTAATTATTAAATCTGCACTGGCAGCTTGCAGAGGATCTGCCCTAAAACAATAAATATCAAAGCTCTTAATTTGTTTTCAATTATCATTCATTACACAACTTATAACTATAATTTTAAAATTTTAGACATTTTTATGATGCAGTGAGAATTTTTGAAATATGCTAAATATTGCTAAAGGAAGCATGAGTTATGCAACAAGTTTTTTTTATTAATTCATAACATTTAGCCTTCCAAACCATAAGTAAAAAAAATTATGGTTAATGAAGTGACAATTAGGATATAATGTTGCAAAGTTGTTTCAAAACTTTTTCTAGAGTATTTGTTAAAACAGGATTGATAAAAAATTTAAAATTTTTAGACTATATTGCAAATGTAAAAAAAAATATGACAAAGAAGTCAAATAGTGATATAAACTAAGTCTGATGTAAAAAAGATCACTGAGATACCTCTAGGTAGTGGGATCTTTGTTTAATTAAAGAAGGAAAACTTTCTAAGGGGGTTAAAATAATACAAAACAGAACAGCTCTCTATATAAGCTAAGCCTTTTAGTAATAATTCCTTATTCATTCTGAACTTGAAAATAGTCATAAAAAAATTGTTCTAAACATTGCTAAACTTAATGATCATCAAAGAATGAAGAAATTTAGGAGTAAAAAATTCTAAAAATGAAAAAGATCAACTTTTTTATTTTTACTCACAAGGTTATCGAAATCAAATCGATTTAGGTTCTTTCATACAATTCAGATTTTAAATAAATTCCTTTTACAGGCTTATTTTAAACATACATATCAAACTATCGTTATATCATAAAAATGTGATATAGTTAAGAATTAATTAAACACCACAAACTTCCATTTTGTATATTTGTAATATGTTTGTAGCCAGAATATTCCAAAAAATTAAGATTAAACATAATATCAGTTCTGGATACTCCACACTTTTACTAGTGTAAAAATAACTTGCCGAGTCAAGTCAGAATCTTTTTTAAGTAGTATAACGTAAGCAGATCAACATAATACGAATTTTATCAACTTAGAGGATAATTTATTTTGCATTAAATAAAAAAATATGTAAAACATAAAGCCACAATTTTTAAATAAGAAAATGCATCTTATTTTTTACCACTGGTAAGTAAAGCTAAAATTTTTAAATTAAGAAAACACACTTTATTTTTTACCACAATTTGCTGTAATTAGTTAAAAACTTAACAATGGGAATTCCAGTGAAATGACAACCAGCTAATACAATGGGGGAAAAACAAATGGTTAGAAAATGTGCATGATTCACTCAAAATTCTTAGCTGGTTATTTGAGTTATATCTCTACGCATTCAAATTTTTTTTAAAAAAGCCCTTGAAACATTTCCTACTTTTAAAAAAGTAAAACAATGAGTATAGTTTTGTATTTAAAATGTAATTAATTGATGATTTTTTTATCCATCTAATAAGACCTGTTAAAATAGCTAAAGAATATATTCTAAAAATTTACATGCATTTATAATTTAATCATGTTCTGTATGAGCTAACAGCATTACTTCATGAAAAGTTGTTTTTATCAAAATTATTTTTGAAAAACTATTTAATGCATAGATAGTAAAATGATGATAGTCATTTTGTCAAAAAAATTTCGATATAAGGCCTACAATAGTGAGTACTATTGTAGGCCTTATATCGACTTTGTTCTCCCCATGAAATATGAATGTCTTGTATTTCAACAAACTTCCCAAGGTATCCAATTATGAGAATTATTATATTTTATAACATAAATATTTTTATATAAAAGAATGGATATTAATAAATTTTACAAAACTCTGAAGTTTGTAACTTTTCTAAAGCCTAACAAAAAATATTATTTAACCTTTGATATTTTGGGATATAGAAGATCGTAAAACAAAATTGAGAAATTTGATATTGGATTTATTAGATGTTTTTTTATAAGTTTCAAGAATAAATAAAGTTATTAAAATAAAAAATATTCTATGAATAATTAGAAGGAGCAAGTCATGAACAATTAGTGAATCATTTCAATGTTTCAATATTACTAAATATAAATATCTTTCAGGAAGTGGTTTTTATAGGCTTTTGTACCACTCTTGAAAACAGTAATAAAAATAAACATAAATATTTTTAATATTTTGCTTATTGTAAAAGTTACCTGCACATGAATATCCCTGATAAAGAAAACATTTGGATTGAGGTTTTAATACACATAAAATAAAAATCAATGAAATAATAAAAATAAAGTAGAAACTAAAGCAAGAAATAAAAATACAAAATAATAATTTGAAACAAAATCATAAAGAACTTCAGTGGCTCAAAGATAAAAGGTTTAATAACTTTTAGTGATTTGAAGATAAATAGTTTAAGAAGTTTTGAGTTTCAATATACCAATAAAATAATTATTACAATTCAATATGAATTACGTTAAATATCATTTGCTGTTGATTTTACCCAATCAGGGCATGCTACTCTAAGACTAAATATATTAAATAAATTAAGCACTTGAGTGAGATTGGTAGTGAACAAGTTAATATTTTGAAACCAGACTAAAACACAATTTCTAATTTTTTTTAAAAAAAAGTAATTTTTGTTCTTTTTTAAAAAAAAATAGTGACTTTCAGTAGTTAGATGAAAAATTATTATTTAAATTATATAATTTATTAGTAAGAAAAACATATTTAATAAATAGCAAATGAAATTTTTTTTTCTGTTTAGAAATTGCACAAAACATACTTCAAGAAGATAAAAACTCAGAGCTTATTAAAATAAACAGTTATTATTAAAACATATTTTTTGTTCAAGTGCAGAAGTAGCTCTTAGAAATTTTTTTAATATTCCTAAGAACATTTTAAGGCTAAAAATAAGCTTTATGTTTTAATAAAAACTAATCATGAACTTTATTTTAACAATATACATTTCATAGTTTTTAATTTAGTAATTAATCTTACATAGCAAGCATAATAGTTTCTAAAAGTTCGAATATAGCCCACATGTTTTAAAAGATGTTTATCATTCATCAGATGCTTTGCTCAAATGATAAATGATTATTACTCAGTTCATTTTTCTATTTTTATTACTAAATATTTTCAAAAACTTTTTTTTTCACACGACAACTATTACAGTTTCTACTATGAAAACATTGGATTTTCTGTTCTAACCTAAACTACGTTCGAAATTGACAGTTAGCAACCAAAGACAAATGAGATAAAAATTAAGATTATCCAAAGAAAACATAAGTGGGCTAAACGTAAATAATTATTGATGCAGATACATATTGTTAGAATAACTAAACATAAACCGATATCTTGAGTTTCCTCCATTTGATCAATGAGCCACAATGAAATGAGAAAAAATAATAATACCAAGAAGAATTGAGGTGCTTCTGATCCACTAAGATACAAGTATCGTTCTAAAGCCACTTCACTATTATTTGGAATGAAGTACGGACGAGGAAAGATTTTTCTAATTACACGAGCAGCAGCAACGCGATTTATTTTCCTGTATAAAGTAAAATACCACCAGTGTATAAAGAAAAAACATTTATAACAGAAATATAACTAAGGTAGATAGCAAATTAACACAGAACGAAGAACAAAACATGAGTGAGTGAGAAACCTATAAAATTTTAAAAGAAATTAAACAGTGAAGACATAATCAAAAAAGAAAATTATGAAAATAATATAAATGATGAAATGAATCATGAAAATAATATCAAGAATATTTTTGAAATCTACGAAGTTAATTCAAAATTTATGAAATAAGTGATTTAAATCTAGAGATGAAAATAAAATTTGCTAATAAGCCCTCGTTAAAATTATTGACACAATCTTTTTCATCTGGTGTTCTATAACATTTTAATCCTTTTGAAATAAACACAACTTAATATGAACAAAACATTGTCGTTTTTTTAAGGTGTAAATTAATGAGATAACACATAGTTTTTAAGAAAGAGTCATATATTATTCTGAAACTGCATTATCATAAAATAGATTAAAAATTATATAATTTACAGGGATGTGATTCTTCCGCGGATCCGCTGATTTCCGCTTTTTTCAGATTTCTCCATATCTTCTGCTCTTTTTTCATAAATTTCCGCGCGAAAAATTTTTTTATGCAGTAAATGATGTTTTGTTGAAAATTTTTTTCTTCGGCGGAGCGAAAGTATTGAAGCCCCCAATAAACCTTTCTTCACATGTCAATCTGCTGGCTGGGGTAAAAGTGGTTGACCTTGGTAAAACAATGCCGTCATTAACTACACTACTCTCTTATCTTTTCAGGGATGAAAGACTTTTTTAAAATTTCCGACCATGTTCCAAAAACTTTTGGGGAGTCGAACGAACGATATAGTCGGACTTGCGACGGTCTCCCCCCCCCCTGCAATAGCCTCCTGAAAAAATGATCTTCAGAAGAAAATGGGTAGAATTCCGGCATGTACGCCGTAGCCTTGACAACCGCGACTTCCGCTATAGATTGGAAAAAAGAAAAAAAGTCCTAAGCAGTTTCGTTTCGGCCGCTGATATTTGATTTCTTTTGATTGGCTGATTTACAGAATTTTAAATATTAGGAACTGGGCCAGAATCTGCTAAAATTGCGATTCTTATTTAGATGATTTTTATGTAAATCATCGATTTTCGTATTTAACTGATTTAAAAGTTACTTGTTGAGATTCGTTTTTACACGATTTAAAAATCATTACTCGCAATTCCCATTCACGCAATTTAAAAATTCAATATCGCGATTTGTATTTAAGCGTTTTTAAAACCCAATATCGCGATTTGTATTTAAACGTTTTTAAAACCCAATATCGCGATTCATATTCCCGCTAGTTTAAAATCCAATGTCGCGATTCGTATTCATATATATTTTTAAATTTCAATATTGCGATTCGTTATCACGCGGTTGTAATATCAAACATCGATTTTCGTATTTATACGCGGTTTAAACATTACTCGTTGCGATAAGTATTCACGGACTCTAAAAATTATGCATCGTGATTCTTATTTACGCGATTTAAAAATTCAATACCGCGATTTGTATTTTCGTGCTTTTAAAATCCAATATCGTGATTCTTATTCACGTGATTTTAAAATTCAATATCGTGATTCTTATTCACGCTATTTTAAAATTGAACATCGCGATTCTTATTCACGCGATTTTAAAATCAAACATCGCGATTCTTATTCAAGCGATTTTAAAATCCAACATCGCGATTCTTATTCACCCTATTTTAAAATCGAACATCGCGATTCTTATTCACGCACTCTTAAAATCCAACATCGCGATTCTTATTCACCCTATTTTAAAATCGAACATCGCGATTCTTATTCACGCACTCTTAAAATCCAACATCGCGATTCTTATTCACCCTATTTTAAAATCGAACATCGCGATTCTTATTCACGCAATCTTAAAATCCAACATCGCGATTTTAAAATCCGATATCGCCTTATTCACGCGATTTTAAAATCCGGCATCGCGATTCTTTTTCACGCGATTTTAAAATCAAGCATCGCGATTCTTATTCACGCGATTTTGAAATCTAACATCGCGATTCTTAATCTAAGGCCTTTAAAAATTGTGTGAGAAATGAACTTTCTTGTCCTATCAACACTGATGATCAAAAGTCTGCAAAGCGCAGTCTACAGATCAGTCATGTTAATAAAAGACCATCAAAAAAACAAAGAACTGATGAGAAGGTCCATAAAGGTCCTTTGACCATTAAAGAAATGTTTTTTTTAAATGATGTGATACATAAAATCCTGCTTATGCATAATTACTCAAAGTTATCTAAATTATTAAAAAAAAATTATTTTAATCAAGATTTTATTAAAGAACATAATTACCATTTATTTATAATTTGAATAGATAATAATGTAATCATTATCAGATTGGCTATTGAATTCATATCATTTTTTTTTTTTGCACGCTTAATGCTACAGTTATAAACTTCCTCTTTTTTGTGTTTTTGTCAATCACATCCCTGAATTTAGGATTGCTTTTTTTAACTATATCTTTTTAAACTGTTATCCCTATAAATTTTTAAAAATTAAAATAAAAACTTTATGAAATCTTACATGATAAAAGTATGTTTGGTCTTTTGAATTCTAAGTAAAAAAATGAAAATAATAAGTAAATAAAAAAAATCTAGACTTTAAAAAAAACTTACCTTAAAAAGGTAATTTTAGGGTAAAGTAAGAGGTAATTTTACCTTAAAAAATGAATAATTTAAAGGCCAATTATCTGTTAAGCTCATACTATATATAAGTGAACTTCTATGATTATTAGTTGAAATTATGACATTTCTAACTATAAAGTATCATAATTAAAAAAAAAAATGTGTTAATGAAACATTTTTAAAATTTATAAGGAAGATATAGAATCAGAATGCTTAGTAGAAAACTCTGTTAGGTTATAATTTAAGTTAATGTTTTATTAAAAAATATTCTGTAAACAATCAATATAAAAAGTTAATGAACCTTCACCAAATTGCCCAAAACACTTCTTCTAATGAAACAGGTTTTAAAAAAAATATATAAGATAAGAAAGTTAAGCATCTCTGGGCTCATAATATTTTTTGAGTACAGAATGATTTTATTACATTACAAAAACCATAAAAAAACATTTCACTTTTTAACATATTTATTATTCCAAAGAAAAAAAAGAAGAAAGAAAGATAAAAATATATACATGCACATTAACACTAGAGGAAGATTAATATAAATAGTTATAAACAAAAATGAAATTAAAGAACTGCATTCATATTAACACTAAATATACCATTACCAGTCAAAAGACTGGTTATCGTATGTTGTATTGTATTGTACTGTAAAGTGTTAGTATGTTTAGAATGCGTGTATGCGTCTATATTATCCAACTACGTATATAAGTTTTTGTTAAATGTTTCAAAATTTTTCACTCAAAGCTAAAATCAATGAAACAATGTTACCATTGATTAAAAACTTATTTTAGAGTGCAAAAGATTTAGTAACTTACCACATCACATGAAATGTATTTATAGCAGGTGGTTTTTTAGTGAATACATCATTAGGCAAACAAAAATCCTTCTCACTACACCGAAATTTAGCTGTTCCTCGATCTAAAAGCTTATCATATTTATAATAAAGTTTTTGAAGATCTTGAAAGGATACATTCTCTTGTAAGCTGTCCTGCAAATAGCCACAATTAATAATGGTAACCACTCAAAAGAAATAAATAATTTGAAAAGAAACATTTTAAAGTAATCAAAGTGGACTCACTCTAACAATAAAAGGCTGCTCATTAAGTACATAATCATGACTATAATTTGTAAAACCTGAAAGATCTACCAAAGTTCTAATATTTTCACAAGGCCAGCAATCTAATGGAAGCTCATAATAGAAAGGATTCCGCACCAAACACTCCTCTTCATGCCAATCTGAGAAAATAAGAAGGACTCATATTACTAAGGAAATAAAATAGAGCAAAATGAAAAGCAAACTGTAAAAAGCAAACTAAACTGTAAAGCATTTGATAGATTTCAAAAACATACTTAACCAGTAAAAAAATTACTAAATTAAAAACATTTTGGTAAGGGAGAAAAAAAAAAAAAAACAGAAAACAATTTTGAAAAAAGAGGGCATCCTAAAAATAAGCTCCATTTCATTATTAAAAAAAATATTACAAAGAATTTTATAAGCCAAGTTAACTCAAAAAAAGAAAATTTTGAAAGGTAATTTGTTGAAGTATCTTTTTACATACATAAAGAGCAGCTTGCAGATGACAATATACATTCCGAAAATAAATTTATAAAAAAATGATTTTGTTCCTCACAGTAATGGGTAAGGTTGGTTAAAGTATTGCCAAGTTGGTTACATGAACATCTGTGAATATCTTTAGTACTAAATGGTCACACATTGACAGGAAATTTTTTTTTTACAAAACTGTTTAAGAAATTTCAGGAAATTTATCAGAAAATGCCTATTTCCTCAAATTTTATCACTAGCTTGCCTTCTCAAATACTCACAGACAACTGACATTGTTGTGCACATTTACTGAATGCTTCAATTCCCCCATAGACCATATGTCTTGGTGACTCACTGCAATAGTGACTCAGAAATTTGACCATGAATTTCAGGAGACTTCACATAGCTTGCATTTAACAAACAAATTACAGATTGAATGTAAATACTTCATTAAGTCTTTCCATGTTTTTTGCTTATAAAAATTTCTATTTTTAATAAGCTAATGTTTTCCTTTGTGTACATTCAATAATTCAGTACAGACTCCAAACGGCAAAATTTTTAATTGGAATTCAAAATATTCTCCATATGCCGAATCTTTGTCTCCCTATAATGTTTCAGACATGCTTCTTTTTGATTTTCCTCTCGGGGAGACATTTTTAAATATTTATATGATCTTCATCAGTTTTGGAGAAAATGTAAATTAGTTGGAAAATTAGAATAGAATAGAAGAATAATAGACCTCTCATTTTTTAAAAGAGGATGACAAAATATTAACTGCATCATATCCTACTAAATATAATTTGAACAGTGTAATGGACAACGGCTAGGAAAAGCCAGGCCAGGAAAGTAACAATCATTTTATAAATGAAGACATGATGCATCAAAAACCACAATAGACAGAAATACCATTTAAACTCATTCAACGAAAGTTTTCAAATGGAAGAAAAATAAACCAGACTGTATTCTTAGTTCATTCCTAAAATGTGAAAATTTAACATCACAAAATGCAAGGTAATACAACATCATGAAAGTTAAGTAATATAAAACAGGGTTGGCATTTCCTTTGGGAGAAACCTATCTCTTCCAGGATGGTGGATTAAACCATAAGAAACTGGACAAAATAGAAGAAACCAAAAATGATCAAAAGAATTGTTTAGCAATAAGTTTTATAAGAATAGCTTGAATTTAAACAAACTGAACATAATACCAGAAAGTTTAAAGTTTCGCCTTTGATTTTTTTAAAAAAATAACTAATTTCATATTATTTTTTATATTTTTATACATAAGTTTAAAATCATATTATTTAAGAGTTGGTTTGAGTATTTATACTTAGAATTTGGTTATGAAAATTGGTATGTTGTTTTCAATTGCAAATTCAGTATACAGGGATGGAACAGTAACATACTCATTTTGGAGCAGAAAAAATGGGTTTTGGCACAACCATTTTTCTTTAGGAGAATTACGTATCTCAAGGGACACATAATAGCTTATTTTTCACATTCCCTTGGCAATTTATGGCATGTTTAAAGTGTTAAACGCTTAAGCGGAATCACTGGACAAGTGAATTTTGTTATTTTACTAATAACCAGGGTTCTGATTCAATTTTAAAAAAAAAAAAAATTATCACTTTTCCAGTCATATCAGGAAAGTTTCAGTGAAATTCCAGACCATATTTTATCTATACCATACAATTTTTTTTTATCAGAAATGATTTATTTTTTTTATTTGTATAATCAAATATTAGATTTTGTGACCAAAAAATATCAGTGAATGAGGAAGAAAAGATGCAAGTTTGACTAAAATGTGAAATTATTTTAACAAATAATTGTAATAGATGTCAGAATTATTTAACTCGAATCTCAATAACTGATAGCTGTTACAGACAAGATGGTCACTTTCCAGGTATGATGAAGGAATTTTCAGTTTTTATAAAAGAGTGTAACTTTCCTTGACTATTCCCTGATTTTTTTTAATCAAAATAAAATTCCCTCACAATTATAAGTTTTTTCTATTCTCCAATTACCCATTGGAGCCCTAAATAACTGCTTAATGAGCTCTATCCGATGGGGTGGGGGGATTAAACTAAACACATTAATTGACATTTACAATCTGCTACATTTTAGATTTTCAAATTCATGACTTTCCATGACTATTCCAAGAATTTTTCATCACTTAATGAAGTTACTATTTTCTCCAACAAAAACACTACAATAAATTTAAAAACCATTATAATATTATTAATTGAAATGATAGGTATAACCCAAATTTTTATACTCTGCATATTCATATTTATAGAATTTAAATTTAAAACACAGAGTAAAGAATGAGTTGAAGTAAAAAAATAGCTGAAAAAAGTACAAAAGCATATTTTTTTTCTTTCTGCAGATTCATATTCTAAAGATACTTTTCGTGCTCATTGGAAAGGAAAGATACACTCCTGATTTTTCTGTTCTCATTTTGGAATTTAAAAAAATTCCCCAATGCTTCAGCTAGAATTTTAAATAGATAAAATAAATAAAAATAATAATAACAAAAGTTCTGAAATTACAGAAGTTTAAAAGATAATTCACTCTAGAAATGTTTTTTCGTTCATTTTCTGAAAGAACACCATAATTTTTAAAGAACATGATAAAAAAATTTTATATTTTAATAAGACATGACTGTGAGTGGGGATTTTGTTACAAACTCCTCAGATATTCGGAACACCATGCAATGGGGGGGGGGATTCTATTTTAAAAATTAGATTTTTTGGCGACCTAAATCCATGACTTTCCATGATTTTTTTTTAAAAAATATTTAAAATCATGACATTTCATGAAAAATTTTGTGCAATACCAAAATTCATGACTTTCCAGGTGCGCAGATACCCTGCATCTAGGAGAAAATTATTTTTCCTGCATTTGCTTGCTATTTTGGAGCAACAATACAAATATTATTAGAGTTTCGGAGCAGCTTGGAGCTATTCTGAGGGGAAAAAAAAACATCTTTTGGGGCAGAAATTTTGTTTTGGAGCAGTTGTTCCAATCCTTAGTATATGTTTTCTAATAGCTAATATGTTTAGTACGTGATTTGTTAATTTAATAGTATTAATAAAAATTTTACTGTACTTTTGCAGAATAACATAATTTAAAAAAAAAAACATTGATAAATATTTTTTATTTATAAATAAATTCAGTCATTATTGAAAAATATCCAAAACTTAGCTATATCATTGGTATGAGGTAAAGAGGGAAAAAAATATAATAGTTATTCATCAGAAATATTTGAGATAAATAAAAAAAAACTGACAATAACTATCAAAAAAAAAAAAAGAAGCTAAACTAAAGTTGAAAAAATATTCTTAAAATTTATCTATAAAACTTTAAAAGAGACTTAGTCCATCAGAAATTCTTTTAAAAATGTCATGCTATCATAAAAACACCCATAAAAAAAACAAACAGATTACATAAAAAGTGAAACAGCTAAAATAAAAATCAATCTTCATTTTTGAACGAAAAATTAAAATCGAGCATTCTAAATTTTTCAATTAAGGTATTTTCAAGAAAAAAGAATAAAGCGTGACAGAAACTCTCTTAATTATCCTGTTATAATAAAAATATTGATAAAAAAAAGAGAGAGTTAGATGGAAACTGAAACAAAAATCATTATTAATTTATTAACAGAAAATTTAACGCTAGAAATCTCAAATTAACTTTTTCAAATTGGCAGATTTCTAGAAAAAAAATAAGGACAGTAAAAGAATACCTTTCATAAGAAACGCTTTTTAAAAAATGATGTCACAATGAAAACACTGATAAAAAGAAAAATTAATGATAAAAGCCACAGATAAGTAGGAAAAAAATATTCTTTGTTCTTAAAATAAAACTTTAACATTGAAAATAACAGTTTATGTTACTGGTTATCATACAGGAAAAAAGTAACAATAAATTAGAAACGGACTTTTAGTTAAAATGCTGCGCTAAAACAGAAGCAGAAAAAACAAAACAAAAAATTCTCAAGATTTTAAGCAAAAAGTGTTGAAAAAATAACGAAATTCATTTGCCTGAATATTGTTTTAAAAAAATAATAAGCTGTACAAAACTCATGGTTCAATATAAAGTAATCTTCTTTTAATTCTTCAAATTTCACTTTTCTTTTTGTCTTTCAGAACATAAATATGCAAGTTTTAGAACTTAACAAATATGTGTAAAAACTATTTTTAATAGTGTATAGAAACAAATACACTTTTAGATTATTCACTATTAAATCCATTGAAATTCTGAAGAAAAAAAACTGCTGAAAAATACTTTACTGAATATTGCCTAACATTCGGTAATTTTTAATAATGTATTTTCAATATTTTTTAATAGGTATTTTTAATAATGTATAAACAAATACAACTTCAGATTATCCATCATTAAATTAATTCAAATTCCGAAGAAAAAAAAACTGCGGAAAAATACTTTGCCGAATATTTCGCCAAACATTCTGACAAAACTATAGACTAATATTTTCTTATAACCAATAAATACTGGACATATTTTTATAAAAACATTATTCTTCTATCTACTTGCTTCAAAATTTTGAATTTCTTTTCTAAGTACATAAGCGTTAGACTTGATATGAGCAGTCATTTTTTCTAAATAACATTTGTCCAGATAACTGATAAGCCAACGCAAAAATAGAATCAAGAAAAATATGAATTCAACTTTTTAAACTCCAAAATAAACCACCTTTTACATTTCACAAAATGAGTGAATCTAGTTTTCAAACAAGAAAAATATGAGTAATGAAGTTATTGAACCTTTTGTTCAGAAATTTATAAAGGTCATGAATGCATAAAGAAAACTCTGATTTCCACACAAGGATTCACTATACACTTCTATTTCTCCTTAATGAAAAGTAATTAGTACCCCCCCCCCCCATAGATTACTTCTAGGACAAGAATAGGCTGCCCAGTCACTCTTTCAATATTCATAGACATAACTGTTGTTTTTAAATTTATGAATTCAAAAATAAATGTAAAATAATAAAAACAATCATCATGAAAGTTTATTTAATGTCAATTATAAATAGAAAATATTCCAGGGAATTTAAATTTTTAGTCATTAGTAAAATGTAGTTTTTGCATTTCATTGGACTATAAAACGCAAATATTTTTGTGTTTAAAATAAATGTAGAATTCCTGTGTTAAAAATGTTACACAATAGTTAGCATCGTATTTATATAATTTCTTAAAATCTACCAAATTTTTTTCTTAGTATGTTGGCGGCTATGCATAGAGTATTCAAGATGTTTCATGGTTATTGAGCAGTAACATTAAAGGAAATAGAGGTTTAGATCATTTCTTTTAGACTTCGGCTATCTATTGATTCATTGTCAATGAAAAAATATTTATTTTGAAAGTGCAAAAATGTCTAAACTCCTGGATTTGGAGTAATTTTCTTAGAATAAGAAGAAAATTTTTGTATGAATGGTCAAGTTTGTTATTATGAATGGCAAATTATATTAGCATGAATGGTCAAGTTTGGGCTTTAAAATTACATTGCCTCTAAGGAATAGCAAACAAGACTTCAGCAACAGCAGGTCAGTTCTACATATTATACATAATATTCTCGAAAATGTCTTCACTTTTGAGTAGGTATATTATTTATACAATAAAATTATTCAAACTTCCTTTACAAGTTCTGAACAGAGAAGTATAAAGTAAAAAACAAGATCATTTGCAACAACATAAATGACTAACAATAATAGTTGAATAACGTTTTGGGGCTTTTTTAAAATTTGAAATGTAAAATTGTCCAGAAAAACTGTTGAGAAAGACAGTGTTGCAGCATATATTAATATATCATTTTGGTGTAAAATTGCATAACATTTTCATTTGAAGGCATATTTTTCAACACATATTATCAAAAATTTTATATATTTAACAGAACTACAAAATTATAATTTCTATTAAAGTAAATGAATACCTGATAAAAATTCATAGTTTCGCAAGATTGGTAAAGTCCATATACGTAACGTACGCATAGTGGGATAGATTAGATTTTGGCAATTTCTCATAACAAATTTTTGTACCGAATTGTGAGATATGATAAATAAATACAAAAATATAGCAATAAAGAAACCAGTGACGATATATTTGATGAGGCATTGCAGAAATTTAATTAAACTTGAAAAATATATCCTAAATACACTACAGTAATTTAACTCGGCTGAATCGTATCTATTATTATTAGAAAAAATTTCCTCAATGCAATGTTTAATTTTATTTTTTGTAAGAAGGCATTTTTTTAGTGAGTGATCAAAACCATCAAGATGATCCGTGAAGATTTTATTTGCTTCTGTAATATCATTCATAATTAACTAAAAGACTGGAAAAAAAATCGCGAGATGCCAAAATCATATTTTTGACTAGAAACATTATCACCTTCGTAAGTTATTTTTAATTCATGGAATATCTGAAAACATTAAATCAAAAGACATTTTCCCGGTATTATTATAGTCTGTCAAAAAAATGTAAACACAATTTTGTTTGTTTGTTTAACATGAAACACTTCCGACTACTTATTTTTGTTTCATTTAAAGACTATACCAGCATTGCCTCATGGAAATGCTAGCAGCGCCCTCTATAAATTTCGAAACAGTTACTTTTTTTTTAATTTTTTTGTTGTCTTTCTATGAGGAATATCACAGAAATTCGTTTTTTCCCTCTTTTACTAGTCCCGTAGTGGACTGATCATAAAAACACTGTTCCCAGTAGAACACCGAAGTCAAGCATCACTGGCTGCTGTCAGTAAGCGGGTGGGTGACCACTTTGATCAGTCTGCGTAGGGACCGAGGGTGCAATGCATCTTTTCTCATTAAACTGCTATATCGGAAAGTGCTCGACTTCGCGTGCTGGTAGTCGGGTTGCCAAAGCAGAGGAGCCATCTCCTCTGCAGAGGATCAATATTGCGATGGCATGTCTTCGGATCATGCTCAAGGATGTTTTCCAGACCGTCGCCAATAGCACATACATGGGCAATTGGTGAGGCACACTATAATGCAGCTCCAGTGCGACGTAAGGACCTACCCACCCTCTTTTGTTAAATTTTTTTTAATAGAATAGATAATTGTGTAAAGCTATGCCTAGATAGTACTAATATAGGGAACCTATTATCCGGAACGATCGGGACCATCGCTATTCCGGATAACTGATTTTTCCGGTTTTCTGAATCGCTACAAAAAGCCGTTTTTTTTATTGTTAAACCTAACAAAAAAAAAAAAAATATTGGAAATAATCTTAAAAAGAAGAAAAAACGATGAAGTAATACACTAAAGGTTATTTTCAAAATGATGGTAAGGTAAAGATCTTTCAAAATAGAAAGAAAAATCCTAAAATCTTATGAGGAAAAAAAATTTTTTTTTTAAATGGTGGAAAAATTCGTAGAATTTCTTTCCGGTTTTTTGGTTTTCTGATTTCCGGATAACGGGTTCTGTACTGTACTTGTAGTGTTCACAATATAAAGCATTCTTTTAATTTAACACCAAGCAAATTTGAACAAATTAAAAAAAATTGTCAAATAAACAAATTTCAACAACTTCACGAGCAAGATGCTGTCCGAAGAATAGCAATAAAGGAAATTTCCCACAAATATAGCTTTATTTATATTGTGATAATAATAGTTTACATTTATTTAAAGCTCACATCCTTTTAGGATTCATAAATTACCTAATACTCTTATGAATAGAAAAATTTCGCAAAAATTTAAATATAAATCACAATAAAAAAACTTCCTGATCACGCATCGCTTCCTAAACTTAAGCGGAGGGATACACTGGAAACTTTAAAAGTTTTTTTTCGGTATTTAAAATCTTTCTATTGTTTACATTCAATGACCCATCTCATTTCAAACATATAAATTAAAGGGTTCAAATTTCAGAAATTTCAAAACTTTAAATTTTTTTTCAATGATCATCACATTTTAGACTTTTTTAAAAATCTTAATTACTAAAATATAAATAGGTTGGGTTTGAAGCCCATCAAACTTCAGATTCATGGGTACCTACTAGCTTCGGCTGTATGGCAAATTAGCAGCCGTCACCGGTTACAAGCTGACTAAAAATAAAATATTGTGATTAAAAAATGTCTGTTAGTCACCCCTTTTTAAGCAGAAAATGTTCCCATCATGTGCTTCATATTTATTACTCGTATTTATTGCTTGGAAAAACTACTATCATACCCAGAAAGCTTAGTCCACACCCTATTTAATCTTTTTCACTATTATGATCATGATTGAGGAAGATTAATTTTGTAATAAATAAATTTTATGTTGCATGATTGGTTCAAAAACTCGAACTTTATTAGTTGAAAACATTACCTACAATGCTTAAATTTTACGTAAACCTATTTCCTGAGATCAGGAAAGTTTTTATTTCAGAAATGAACCCTGTACTGTTTACTATATTTTAAAAAAAATACCTTTAAAGAAATATTTAACATTAATAATATCAGGTTTTTTTTTTAATTATTTGGAGTTTTCAATTTTTGAGAAAGTGGTTATGTCTTAAAAAGTGACCATTGTTGCTAAAAATGCTTCTACTGTTCGTTGGCCGGTAACAAATTTGCCTGGGATGCAATAGCACCTAGTGCACAAATCTTCCCTCATTGCCTCCTTATGCCGTTTGTGAAAAGTTGTGGGCCCTTAATTTCCATGACCTTTGTCCGCATTGGGATGTAGCAATAATATATTGCTTGCTTCAAATAGTTACATTTTATTTTTTAAATAACAATTTGAATCACAGAATGCCTGAAGTTTGCAAATACACAAATTTATGAGCACATTTTGAAAAGAATTTTATTTGAAAAATTATAATTAAACTTTAAAGTAAAAAAAAAAAAGGAAATTAAAAAAAAAAGGTTATTTTATCTCTACAGGATTTAACACCTGTAGATATAAAATCTAGAGTGCAGTAAACAACATGTTACTGAGTCATTTAAATTGTAATTGTTTTTTCACATATTTGAGTTTAGAGTAAATATGTCATAGATTTAATTCATGAATTAAGCATTGTTATTAACTTGATCCATACTCTATAGGTAAGTTAGAAATAAAGTTCAATCTTCATACTAAATTAACGTTTCTAAGTTTTTTGAAAATCCTATTTATAATTCTCATCTTTAAGAACCTATTTTAAAAAAAAAAGTGAACTTTCTTATTTCAAAAATGCCTTAACAAAAATTTTTTAGAGCTTTGGACAAAGTTATTTTTCTTCCTTATCTTTGATGAAATATAATTTTATCAGAAAATATGGCAGAGAAACAGTTTTTCCCCAAACCAAATATAATTAATCGCAATTGAATTAAATGTGTAACATGGAAATCAGCTTGGTTTGAATTACTGTGCTCTGCATGAAAACTATATTTTCGATAATGAAATCTGTCTTGTATAAGTTATGAACAGTAAGTTTTTTTTAAAAAAAACTTTGATTGAATGAAATTTTGATTTTGTGTAAATAAGAATAAAAAATGTGACACAGAGCTCATTTTATTTTGCTAAGGCATTTAAAAAGGCACTGAAAAAAGTAAGGCATTTAAAAAGGCACTGAAAGTTTTCAAAATAGTAAATGCTAAAAAAATAAAATGGTTTGAACAAAAAAGTCTGAAGAAGTTTTTCTGGTGCATACTTTTTGATTAAAAAATAAAATAAAACTTAGCTACTTTTTCTCTTGATTTATTTTATTATGAGTTTGTATATAAATATACATATTATTTAATTATGATGTAAAAGCCGGGATAGCCTGACCGGTAGGGCGGTGGGCCCATGTCCGAGAGTTCGCGTGTTTGAGTCCCGCTGGCCGAAGACTCCCCGTGTAATGGTGACTGGTGCACGTTAAATCTGTCGAGTCGCAAAGTCCTCCATGTTCCCATAACAAATCGATATATCTGGGGGTACTGGATTGGAGATCGATCGTTCTCTGATTCAGGTCAAAAGTACGATCTGTGGATGAATTGATTGATTGAATGTAGAGTTTAATGGCACAAAATCCAAATGTGGACATGCTGCGCCAAACAATATGTTTATACATGTCAAAATTGAAGTGCATACTTATTTTCCTAAATATAATTAAAAATTGATAAAATCATATACAAACAATCAACGGTAGTATTGGAATAAAATCACGTCAAAGTTAAAACACAGTAAAATAGTATAAAAGTAAGAATATCCTTCTAAAAATGAATAAATTCATGAACAGAATAAACTTATATACAATTTAAAATGCCAATAGCACGTAAAAATGCAAAAATGTTCGGATGATGAGAGTCACCTAACAAATCTCCCATAGATAAAATAGAACTGCCAAAAAAGGCAAGACGATGTCTGTTAAAATACGGGCAAGTGATTAAAATATGGTGAATCGAAAGTAAAACATCACAAGTGTTGCATTGAGGAGGTGGTTCACCAAACAACAAATGTAGATGGGTCAGTCTGGTGTGTCCGATTCGCAGACGGGTAAGCTTAACATCTGCACTACGTAGTCGCAACACAGGGAAGGGTTCCAAATTTGACTTATGAGCGTGCAACTTATTATTCACTTGGTTATCCCACTGCTGCTGCCATAAAGATTTTATATACTTTTTAATATGTATTTTTACATCTGAGAATGGTATGGATAAATTTAAAGTAGTAGTAGCAGATCGCGCTGCTGTATCGGCTAAATCATTGCCAGGGATTCCAACGTGACTTGGAACCCAGCAAAATAAAATATCGAAACCATTTTTATGAAGATTAAATAGCAAATGCTGTATAAAACACAAAATGGGATGAGTTTTACTGTCAAAATGGTTGAGTTGGCGCAACACGCTCATACTATCTGAGTAAACGCAGTATTTTCGATTCAAACTAGCGATCTGTGGATGAATGAATGGGTCCACCTTATAAAACGGACTGTGACGTGTGTGTGGTTGAAGATGAATTCTTGTCATAGGACGGCGCCACTGAAAAACAAGGAAGGCACACTCTGCTTTAAATTTGCTCAGTTTCACCAAGCAGGCTTGCTCGTGTGGTAAGTAGCATTAGAAACAACAACATGATGTAAAATCACAAATATGTCATTTCCTACATCATGGAATGTTAAAAATAGAACTTTTTTGTTTCAAGTTCATTCATAGAGTTACTGATTTTAAATGGTGCCTATAAATTCTGAGAATAGGAAATACTTTAAATTTTTTGAAATATTACTCATAATAAAAAAAAAAAGAAATATCTCAATTGGAAAAAGTATTTATTATGAGTAAGGTATGAAAAGGTGTACCTTAAGAAAGTTTGCAATTTTTACTTTAAATGTTCTTCTGTTAAAGCAATGATAAAATTTGAGCAATTATTAAAAGATAAAAAATGAGAAATCTTAATTAAAAAGCTGAAAATATAACAGCTATTACTAATTTATTGGTTGCCAATGGCAACAAAATTTTGTGAGTTCTGGTCATAAAAGAAAGCAGAATTCAGGACTTAAATTTACATTTAAAAATTTTTTTTATTGAAATAAATGAAAAATTTTCCATTTTTGTTTTCCAAAATTTGATGTGTTTCTTTATGAGATCTGCCTCTATGTAGTCTATTCATCTATAGAATTTTTCTTTTACCCTTCACAATTGCAAAGGTAGCTTTTTAACAGGGTTTGGGTTATCACATGTAAAAATATGTCCAAGCTATCTGATACAGTAAGATTTGATAACTTTGGTAGTATTAGATTGTTTGTATGTCATTCTAATATTTTCTATAATTGGTTGACATCAGAAAGGTTATAAGTTAAATTTAAAGAAAGTAATAAACTTTGATGTAGCAGTACAACCTAGAGAAACTATCGCTAGTATTAAGACATTCAGAGAGCAGTCTAATGAGGAATGAAAACTAACAATACAGAATTGATAACTCAGATGCTTGTTAGTAAATTTTATTACATGATAAGTTCTATACATAATCCAATAAGAGTATATTTGTTGTATCAAAAAGTATATATTTGAACTATATGCTGTAAAAAAAGAAACAAAAACTAAACATCTAATATATAAAAGAACAAATGATTCTATTTTATACAAGGTTGAAACATACAAATTAATATGAAATTTTTTAATTTGTAACGTATTCTAATTGATAAAGTTACATATTCTTATGCAAATCTTTACTTTGCATCGTAACTTAATTGATGAAGTTAGAAATTAATATGCAAATCTCATTTTTGCATCATATCCTAATTGATCAAGGTTTGGGATGCATGCAAACTTAATCATGGGAGGAGGTCCACACATAAGGATAAAAGATTTATCAGTTGGAGGAGGAAGATGCTCTGTAATCATTTCAGCAGATATGAAACCAGTACTATATTTCCAACCTAAAATTGTAACCTCATATAATTATCAAGCACATAATTTTCAAGAATAGTAGATAGAATTGTAAATTTCACACATACTTTAAATTCTTCAAAATAAATGGTTTACTTTTCTAAATTCAGAATGTTTTCGTTATTAATTTCCTGAACTATGTACTTTATTTTTAAAATGGGGTCAAGCAACATCATGCTGATTTATTACTCTGGTTTTAGATGTTCAAACATAAAAAAGTAAAATAAAATATTGAATACTTAAGTAACTTCAACAGGTGGTTAATTCTATTGAAAATGCAACACAGAACAGACTAATTAATTAACACCATAATTTAAGTTTTTTTTGAAAAACCTATACCATTATCAGTAAGAGTGAATAACAATTGAACTTATTTAACTAATTGAACTTATTATGCAAGAAATTGTCTTATTCTATAAGCACTTAAAAACACTGCTGTATGGTTACTGGGTCTTTTATATGACTGCTTCAATTAGTATGTTGCAATGGTCAAATAGTTTGGAATAACATTTGTTAAATAAAAATTAAAGCATACATTTTTCAACCATTGCAGAAAGTTAAAGAATAAAATATAATAATTTTGTTTATTGTAATATGGATCCTCCATGTGCAGAACATATTTCCACTGGACTGGACATGTGAGGTCTATAGCATTATATAGGTCATAAAAAATACAATATAAATATTGAGATTTTTGGTGAACAAAAAATATTTTTATAAACTAAATTTGCTACATTCACACATTTTATAAGCTACACTGTAGATGAATAAAACTCATAATATTGTGAAACACTTAAAAAACTTATCAAGAATTTAAGTTAATCAAATTGTAAATTTATTGACTCAGTTCTATAGCTCATAACTGAATTTCCTAGTGTCACTATTAATTAAATACAAAGAAGTATATAGAATGAAACTAGCAAACCTTCTGTAGGACGATCTACAGTAAACCACAATTTAAATCTATTAGGATATTGAGAAGCAAGAGTTTCCAATTCTGTCCTTAGCAATATGTCATTTTCAGTCTAAAACAAAAATACATAATGTATGGAGATTGCTTTTAGAAAAAATAAATTGCAGCTTAAAATAATTATAATTCAACACAATTTTTGGAAATAATTGTAATTTATTTAAATACACATTAAGTGAACACTTAAATTTCAAAAAAAAAAAAAAAAAAAAAAAAAAAAAAAAAAAAAAAAATGATACATATATTTCTGCAATAAATAAAAATATCTTAAAGTAAATAACCTACTTAAGTTGTTTTCAAAAAGGATCCATTCAGATAGAAATTAGCTAAATATAAAACTACAAATTAAGATCATTATATATACACAGTATACTCTTGATATCTCAGACTAGAAAGGACGCTAAATTTTTTTTTGAGATCGCGATTTTTCGAGTTCAAAACTAAATGTTCTAAAAAGTAGAAAAATATGTTCTAAAATATTACTCTAAAAAGTAGAGTCATGAACATATATGGCAACGTTACTTTTAAAAAGTAACGAGTAAAAGTACAAGTATTTTTAAAAAAAGTAACGAGTAAAAAGTAAAAAGTTCATATTTTAAAAAGTAACGAGTAAAAAGTACAAGTAAAACTACAAGTACTAAGCAAAAAAAGTAACGATTTAAAAGTACATTTCTAGGAAATCGAAAATTCAAAGTAACCTAAAATTTTATTGAATAATATTCTTATGCTCTTTAAAGTTTTTGCCAAATTGTTGTCATTTATTTAATTATTTTTAATTTTGAAAGTTATGGATTTAAATTTATTTTTAAATTCGAAAGAATATTATAATATAATTTTATAATATAATCGTATAATATAATTTTAAAATCAAATATAGTTTTAATTTCAAACTTTTTATGGATTTGCACGAAAAAGAAATTTTATCTATTGATTTTAATTTTTAGTTTATTATTTTTATTTATTTAAATTACCATTGATTTAAGATTGTTTTACTCTTTAGAGACGCGTTTCAAAAGCACAAACGTAAACAAAGCAAACACAGGGTTTCAGATAGCTTTGTGATCTTTGAGCTAGTAAAAAATAATTGAATGTGCAGTATAAGTTGAAACAGAAGGTATTTAAACACGAAGTTAGCTGTGAATGCATGTATATTGCACATTAATTTTATTAATTAAAAAAAAACATAAGCATTTTTTTTCAATTTAATATTTTTTTTTTAAAAAGCTTACCGAGTTTTAGAAAAAAAGTAACGATTTCGTTCGATATTTCCGTTACAAATACTTGTACTTTTTCCCTAAAAAAGTAACGAAAGTACAAGTAAAAGTACTAAATTTAAAAAGTAACGAAGTACAAGTAAAAGTACGTACTTTTTACTTGTTCCGGCGGTACAAGTAACGAAAGTAAAAGTACTGCCATATATGGTCATGAAACATAAGAATAACTACTAATAAATATGCATGCAATGATAGTTGAATATAAATCTAAATACAACAATTATAATTTTATTTTTAAAAGTAAGACAAAATAATTATGGATTAAATAGAAAAGAATTGGTTTACAATAAACTTCATTTTTCCGGAAAAATTAATTTTCTATTTCGAAAAAATTTGAGATATTGAGAGTATACTGTTTATATATACACACATATATATATATGTGTGTGTAGACTACCGGACCAGTAGACTACCGGATTTTGCCAGTTTCTTCTGGTCTACTGGTTTAGTTAAAATTCTCCTGGTTTTTGCACATTTTTGAAAATTCTTTAAAACTGAGTAAATTTCCGAAAAAAAAACACCTATTGGATAGAATTTTTGTATAGATTATTGCTTGAATATTTAAATAAGTATTACCAATGCATAATGAAGTGAACCTCATTTATTGAAATCAGTTCAAAACTTTTTTTGTTATAAAATGTTCAGTTTATTTTTATTCAGAACTCTCTTTTTAAATTAATAATAATAATAATAAAAAATTTAAGCTCTCTTTGATGAATTAAATGACTATTAATAATCAAAAGTATGAGTAAACATAATACATAACATTTCAAGTATGTTTAAAGTCAACCATAACTGGAAAATATAGCAGATTTTGATGACTATAAAAATCCCTAAAATTCCCTACGCGTAAAATATTTAGAATATTATGCAACAAATATCATGAAATTTATATTATTTCATAAAATCTACTGGATTTTTTTCTATCCATGTTGCAGCTATGTATACATTACTTCCAAATAAGAAATTTATCATAGCTCAAATACAACTAAGCCAAATGTTTTTTAAGGACATGGCTGATGAATTAAACGTAAATGGGTGAAGAAGTATATAAATTGGTGGTTTTTACATTTTGTTGAAAAATGTTGAACTGAGATACAATGTAATTGAATGCATCTAAGCAAAGATACAATTTACTATTCAAGTAATAAACTATTTAAATCAAATTAGAAAACTTAAGAAGCACGATAAATGATTTATTAATGCATTAAAAGAGAGCCAGAAAACAAGCCATTTAGAAATTTTTGTTTACTTGCCCATATGACACTGACATGAGAAGTTCTTACCTGCCATAAAAAGTATAGTTTTAGAATATCGCAACCTATTAACATGCTTGATAAATTAAAATGTAGTGCCAAAACTGTTTGATAATAATTATTAACTGATGTCTATTTTCAACTGCAGAGCTGATGTTTTATACAGCTTCATGAAACTTAGATAATTATGGTGGATATGTATTACGGCAAGTCATACAAAGTATTACTTTAAAGAAAATGTTAACAAATAGGTAGAAATAATGGCATAATTAAACTATTCAAGAAATCTAAAATACCTGATTTGCAAACAATAACCACAAATTCAATTTGTCATCAGGGTTTCGAAGAACATGTTTTACCAACTGAAGCATTGGGGTAATTCCTGAAATAAATTATTATCTTATTATGAAAAGGTCACAGAGCTTTATTTGACTTAGTTTTTCAATAAAAAAAACTTGAAAAATGTTGTGATTAAAAGTAATCTATTTTAAAGAATAAGGGACAACAAAGCATGAAAAAGTAGTTAAAAAAAATAATTGAAAAGAACATTTTCTTTGCCCCTCACACATGTAGATGACAAATGCAGTCCTCTACAGATTTTCAGATATTTAATTAAATGTTTTTTTAAAAATTATTTCATCAAAAATACTGAAAATAAAATTATTTTTCTTCTCATGATCACACATGAATATTTTTAACTTTATCAAATACTCACTAGATGACTTACAAATTATATCGATTGTCAAATTACCACAAATGCTTGCATCAAAATTTAGTAAACTATAATTTTAGAAAAGGGAATCTATTTATAACTGTTGAATTTTTACAAAAATACAATTAAACTTGTTTAAATAAATGCTCAAGAATATTTTTAGAGTTATGCTAAATATATTTATAACTTAGGAACACATTTAGAGTAACTAAATTTTTCAACAGCCAATAAAAATGAAGTTACCAGATCCACCAGCAATCATTCCAATTTCTTTAGCTTCAAAGGTCTGAGCAGGAGATTTATTATCTGGTTTAACACTGAACTTTCCTAAAATAAATGAATAGAAATATTTACAACTTGTTTTTATTCAAGTACAAATATTCTTTAAATGAACTTAATTGAAATTATATAAAGCAAAAAATAGTTAATCATCTATTTTAATTCTTCAGTAAAATAGAAAATATATATAACAAAATTTATAATAGATTCATTTTACAGATCAAGGAGGTACATACTAGTGACCTTTCATTAGAGATGATCTCCAGATGGATAAATGATTTACCTTTGACCCTTATGCGATGGAATTCTCAATTTTATTGTATCATATCTTGCTGTAGCTATTGTCAAACTCAATTGCATTCAATAGAATATTACAGCATACACATTTTTGTATTTGTAACATAAAATGAAGATTAAAATATGTACAATGAGATAAAAATAGAGTATTAAGTTGACTTTATCACAATCAAACATAACAAAATTGAGAAAAATTTTTTTAGTACTATAATCAGTTTTTGAAATACTATGTAAAGATTACATATTTTATTGAATCATGATTAGGAAGCATTGTGTATCATAAATATGCATAGTCACATAAATATCATCAACAGAAAATTTTCTATAAGTAAAAAAGCAGGCTTTAGTGAAGGAAAATAATAGAAACCTTTTCCTAAGTATTTTAGCTTTCCTGAGGGACCACGAACATCAATGGTCTCGCCTATTTTCATGTTTTCCAAATATTGTGACATCTTACCACCATCAGGGAACTTAGGATGAACCCCTTTGAAGTAAACCTATAAATCATTGAAAACTATTAATATTAAATAAAGAATACAAATAAAAGTATGGAGGGGGAATATACAATTGTACTGTCAAATGTGAACTTTGACCTGCCAACCTCGGACAGTGAAAAAGTCTGAGGTTTTTGGTGATCATGGCATAGTGTTATAAGCAAAATAATAATAAAAATTAAAACATATTAAGGCACTTAAACTATTTCAGCTACCTTTTTGACTTCTAAAAATTATGAAATATTAAATTAATTTATTGTTTTAAAACAGACCAAGTGATCCATTTGCATATTCTAAAAAGATTTTATGAAAAATTTGCCCAAAACAAAACTTTTTCTAGTTTGCCTCCAAAGTTAACAAATTCTTCCATATTTATTTGGATAAAGATCAGAATTGGTTCTGAATTTTTGTTATGTGGCTGAATAGTCTTTCACATTTAAGTGGGTTTGTCAACAGTACCAGCATAAATTTGGCTATCACACTGAAGGAATTACTTTTTTTGTTACTGACTTATTGCCATTTTGTATCGACAAAAAAATGAAAATTTCTTGTATTGTCCTCACAGTGCTTAAAACCAGGGTTGTCTGGTTTTACCCAATTGCTTTTTTTAAAAAATTCAACACAGGATTTCTTTCAAAGAAAAATCTTTTTAGCAATTTAATTTCACATTATTTATGCAAATGTTTTTACTTGAATTATAACGGATCAAAAAAATATTAAGCTTTTTTCGGAAAAACCATTTCAATTTTGAGCTTAATTGCTAATGTGAATCAGTATTACTTAAATAAACATATACAGTATGGGACCCCTAATCCGACAGGACCCGAAATTCGGCACTTAATCCGACCTAATTTTTTATTTTTTTTAAAAGAAAATTTTATTGATAAGAGAAAAAAAAAATCAGTCATATTTTCTCTTTGTTTGGAATTTTTTTCTCTTGAAGTAAGTAACTATATTTTATTTTTTAAAAATAAAAACAAAACATCTATTCCTAAAGCAGTTGAAATTAAAAAGTAAAAACATCTGCATTTATATAGAATAAAGAAAATAAAGAAATGCAAGTTGGGAGAAACTGATCAATCAATCTTGACAGCTGTGCAAGTGCTTTACTGGTTTGTTCCCACATTTCCCTCTCCTGTTTGACCATAAATTAGCCACACCCTTTTGACATTGAAACTTCTTTCTCACTTGGTGCCTTTTTTGTTGCCTTTTTTTAAAATTCAATTTATTTATCTTTTTATTAGTTATTAACTGTTACTTTTTTGTTACTTGTTAACTTGTTTTTTTATTTTTTTATCGTTATTAGTTGTTTGCTTCTTTTTTGTAGTTATTCATTGTTAGTTTCATAGCATTAATTGTTACTTTTCTTGTAGTTCCTTGTTAGATTTTTTTTGCAAGGTGAGTGTAAAAAAAAATGTTAAGTAAAAGAAAAGAAACGATTATTTCTTTTTCGGAGGATTTGGATTATTTCATCTTGAATTATTTCTTCTTGATTATATCATATAGATTATTATTTTAATTAATGAAATTTCTAAAGATGGGACAGTTCTAAATTCACCCCATCATAATCTACAATTGAAAATTAGCTAAATTTATTGATTTTTCTGAAATTAACAGCGTAAATGAATTATCGTAATATATGGGCGCCATATTGGAATTTCCGGAAGAGATCCGAAATTCGGCAAATTCTAAAATACGGAATTTCGTCGTTCCCGTGAGAGCTGGATTCTGGGTCCTATACTGTATATGTAATTTTTAAAAGTTTATGTATCATTGTATTTCTGCAAAAATATAAATAAAATAAATTAATGTGAGAAAATCAAGTCCTTATATCTCTGAAAGGTACTTAAAATAAAACGATCTGCAAGTAATCAATTCTATGTTCTGCTCGTTTATAATGTAATTATTGAATGCGTAATTAAAAATTTCTTTTTTTATTTTGTTCAATATTCATTATGCTTGCTACAACCAAGTGTAAACGGAAATGAGCTATTTTTAATTTCATTTAATATTTTTCAATTTATTTTGTTATCAGTGAAAAAAAATTTTGCAGCATATATGTAGTAAGTGTTATTCATAATTCTAATACAGTGTAAAGTCGCGTATCCGGAATCGGTGGGACTTCCAGAAGTCCGTATAATAGATTTTTCCGTATAATAGACCCCCAAGGTAAACAAAGCTTAAAATGATTTAATAAACGATCTGAATCTAAGAAGCAAAAAATAAATAAACGTTATTTTTAAGGGCGACAATGTTTTAGCATTAGAATATCTAAATCAAATATAAAATATTAGAAAAAAAATATTATTGCTGAAAATATGGAAAACGAAAAAAATTTAACAGTTATGAAAATAATAATCCGCCATTTTGAACTAGAACGATTTAAGCAGGAAGGGGAAATTCATGTCATTCTGGAACAAAGCTTAAAATGATCTAAATCTAAGAAGCAAAAAATAAATAAACATTATTTTTAAGGGGAATAATGTTTTAGTATTAGAATATCTAATCAATAAAATATGAAATATTAGAAAAAAAATATTATTGCTTAAAATATAGAAAACGAAAAAAAATTGACATATGAAAATAATAATCCGCCATTTTTAACTAGAATGATTCAAGCAAGAAAGGGAAATTCCCGTCATTCATTAAGGTGGGTAGATGGAGGAGAAAAATTCATTTCCTCCTTATTTGTGAAAGAAAATAAGTGTAAAGAGGAGATCATTTAAGTTGAGGGTGGGAAAGTAACAAATTATTGTTTTCTCTTCAATCATTGGCTATCAATCAAGCATAAAGGCGGGGCACGCTGATCGGGTTCTCTTTATTTTTTCTTCTATGACTGAAAGAATCTGTTAAAGCGAGAACGTTACCCCCTTTCCCCCCGCCTCCTAAATATTACATGGTATGGGGAAGAACGAATGTTTTGTTTCTCAAGGACGTATATCCTTTTAGACCTATTCAAATTTTCCATTTTGACTCCCCCTCCACCTTAACCCTTGCCCCGTTTACCCTTTTTCACAGTATTTCTTCTTTCAATAAAAAGGTTCCAGGAAATGCCTCTTTTACTAGCCACCTGCATGGGAAAGGAGGGGGGGGGAGAGGACTCAGTTGCGGTCTTTTGAAAACAAATCTCCCTCTTTTTCCTACATTCCAAGGGAGGCGCGTCACTAACGGTCACTCAATGGTCTTGGTAGATCTCCCCTTTCTGGTGATTTATGGGTTCGATGCGGAAAAGAGAAAATGTGTCAAAAGANTTTTTTTTAGGAAAGGGGAAGATGGAGAGATGTTTGTTTATTTTGATTGTTAAAAAGTGTCCGGGAAATCGACCCTTCCGGGAAAGGGACTTCCGGATATGGGACGTTTCACTGTACGTCAAAAATAAATTTTTTTATCTGCAGACATAAAAAACCTTTTTACAAAATATAATCACTTAAAATATTTTCAATGATGATTATATTAATTAATGCTGCATTATTATGTTAAACGCTTCATTGAGTTAAAATAAATGAAAAAAAAATTTTTACTCTTCATTTTTTAATATATCATTATTATTGAAGCATATTTATACAATAAGAATTAACAAGAAACCAAAATGACTAGAAACAGCAAAATTGTTGATTTGAAAGAAATATTGTTGGAGTTGTGTGCTAAATATGCAAAAGTCTGCTAGTTAGTCTGTCTCAGGTTTAGTAGAAAATTAATTCAATGGCCTCAGATAGGTTGAAAAAGCTGAGACACAGGCCAAAAGCGTGACAGTAGGCTGATCTATGCACATAAATAGAATTAAACCTAAATTCTGAATTTTTTTTTAGCTTTCTGTGACACAAGCTTAATATTTGGAAATCTTTTTACAAAAACTTAATTAAATATGATGAAAAATAACATTATAAATACAAAGTTAAATAATATTTAAAAGTTAAAATTTTTTCTGAAGAATAAAATAAAGTCCACACTTAATACAAAACTTAATCGAAATCAATAGTGAGAAAAAAACAATCAAAACAAAATAAACCAGAAGAATCAAAAATATGAAATTATTTAATGATATAAAAATAAATATTTTTTAATAAAATTAAATAATCTCAATCAAAGCTTTAAAAAAAATAAAAGTTGAATTAATTTCTAAATTGTCTCTTACTATGTTTAATTTCAGTTACATTTTCACTTAAAAATTTGAGATTTCTACTGCCATATTTAAAGTTAAAACTAAACTTTAAAATATTTAGCACCATACAAAAACTTAAAGAAATCATTAATGCAAGGACTAAAAAAAAAAAAAAAAAAACAGGTTTTGTGACGCAAATGTGTGAAATTAATATCTAAGAATTGTTAAAATTTAGCTTTATTTTCTCTTAAAAATCTGAGATTTTGACTGCTGGAGGTATATCTATGTAAACTGAGGTATTTGTATATTTACATGCTTTGCAGCAAACCCCAGAATACTGGTATAGGAAACCTATCTTCAGAAAGGTGATCATTCACATCACACAAGGTTGAAGCTAAACTTCAACGCAATACCATTTTAAATAATGACTTTTGTAGAAAATATTGATGTTAAAAAAATAAAGGCTTGGATAAGCAAATATGTAAAATCAAATTTGAAAGAGTTATTTTAAAGTTAAAATTCAGTCTTATTAACACCAAACATTTTACATTTCCACTAATTTTTTTTTTGTTAGATATAGTTGAAGGTTAACTTCAAAGCTTAAGAGATAATTTAAAAAAATGTTTCTTGTAAAAAATATTGATGCTCCCCCATTTTTTGTGGGGCAAATGTTTGATATTAATACTGTATATGTCTTTTGTAATGTTAAAATCCAGCTGAATTTTAAACAAAAACATAAAATTTTGATTAACATTTTTAGACTTTAAAGTATATGACATCATTTTTAAGAATGATTCTTGTAAAAGATATCCCTGATAAAATTTTTTTTATCACGAATTATCACCAATTTCTGACAAAGTTGAAGCTCAACTTTAAAAGTATGTGATATCCTTTTAAAGAAAACATTGGTTTTGCAATGCAAATTGCGTGAAATAAATTTTTTGTCTATCATAATGCTAAAATTCAGTCTCAATTTCACACAAAGCTTGAGATTTTGAACTACATTTTTAGATAAGGTTGAAACTCAATTTCAAAGTTTATGAACTCAACTTAAAGAATTTACTTATAGAAAATGTTCATGTCTTAAAAATATAGGTTTTATGGAGCAATTGTGTAAATCAATTTTTGAAGTATCCTTTGCAATCAGAATATCATGCATTGCTTGAAAAAGGTAGAGCAAGCAGTTATCCATCTGAGGTAGAGGATAGTGATGGGTAATACTGCGGAGGCAGTACAAGAACGATTTCTGACTAGACAACTATTCAATTGAAAAATCTTTGAGAATGTCGAGGTCCATCGTAAGCAAAGGATACAGCCTTTATGCTTAGCGCAACAGTGTAGTACACTACTATTTGATTATTAACCTTTGAAAAAGAGTTATTTTAAGGGAAAAAAATATCTAGTTGAAACCCTTTCCCCTGGTAAGAAATAATACAAAAAAAAAAAAAAAAATTTTGAATACCAAAATTTTGAATTATATTCTATTATAACAAAATCTTGGTTTATGATTTACAATGAAAACACAAGACTATAAAATAAGTATGTATGAATTGGGCTGCTTTAACAAGATGTTTGAATTTAAAAGTTTAATCATGAAAAATATAAAAGGTGATACAGTTAACTATTAATATAAGCTATATTAATCAACCCCTATTGGCTATCTTTGAAATGAAGTTAAAAATATTAATATGGGAAGTTACTTTAATGACAAGATCAATATAGCCTCTATCTTCTTCGTCACTAGATACGGGAGTGTATGGGCGAATCACAATGTTTCCATCAATTTTGGCACTGAGAAAAATATGCTGTCCTATAAAGTCATACAAAAAGTGAATTTTATTAATGCATGGATATTTTATCAAAATATCTTTTTTAAATGTACAACATTAGATAACATAAAAATTTGAAGGAAAAAAAAAAACTGTCTTCAAAATTAAACCAAAAGTGAAAAAATAATAAAAAAGGAGAGCATATTAATTTTATAGCCACAGGCATGTATATTTAACAAGATGTTGATAATCTAAAGAATTATAACAGAAGGTAAAATAAAACAGTCAACTTTTCGGTCAATAGCCTTTTTTTTACAATACTTGATAATAAATTATGTAACAACATTAATATTAAGTTACAGTATGTTAAAATATTCTAAAAAAATTAGCTAAATGACAAAGCATGGAATGCTGAAGGATATTTTTTTAAGCATCAATTTAAGAAATCTGCATAAAAATACAAATGGTACCTCATAATTAGGTCATTTAACCTTTTGTTATAAAGCCAAATTTGTATTTATAAAACCTGTTTCATTGAACTAAATAAAGGGTTTGAAATATATATATTTCATTTTATAAGGTAGTTAAGATAATGTGTTTTTACAGTTGTCAATATAATTTTAAAGTTGCTATCATTACAAAATAAATGAATGTGTAGAACTTATGTATTTAACAATTTATTATCTTTCAAAAGATGTTAAAAACACTGCTCTGAAAAGTTTTACTATTAGTGACTGCATATAAAGTTAAAAATTCGCATTAAAATTAAGAATTATACTATACCTATTGGAAGACCTAGGATATGATTACTACTTGGCAATATGAAACGAAATCTTCTTGTGTCATGGTTAATAACCTGAAAATAAGTAGAAGTCAATAATCTGAAATTAAAAAATATAAAGCTTTTATTCTTCAAAAGGAATAAGAAAAATCTTTTTTCATCTACTGAAACATTATTTAAAAATCATCAATTTGAAACATAATTCACTAAAAATTTTAAAACAATTGAAATATATTTTTAATCAACTATAACAACAAAGAGTTTATCACACCAAACAAGATTGCTGTTAAATGAATGTAAAACTAGTTTTATTATTATCCTTGAAGTGTAGCTTTTATATTATCCTGAGACTCAGTGCTTTATAAATTAGTAATCACTGATTTACAATAGGAGTTTTTTAATTTTTCGAAGTCAAAATTATAAAGAAGCTATCTTTCATATTGATTCTTAGGTGACAATCTTGGCCTTTTGCTTCAACCAAAATGATGACTCTGCAAGACTTTCTATGACAAGTACTCTTGTCGACAATATCATAAACAAAAATTACTTAAAAAGGATTCCAAGCAAAAAATTTGCTGATCAGGTTTTGAAGGATGTTTGCAAATCGCTTCACTCATCTTACCCTTAACCCAGCAGTTTTTTTTTTGTATTATACTTTACTTTTTAATCAAAAGTAAAAATTAAAGAATGACTTTTTTCCGATGTAGATAATGGGAATTAATTTTCAAATAAAAAATTGAGTGTGTACAATTAAGTGTTAGATATGCGTCTTAGATATATACTACAGGTTAAATGTACACCGGATACGTGAAATTGTTGATATAAATTTTAATATTTCATGTTAAAAATACTCCCTCCTATTTCACCTCCAATTTAAGTTTTTTGTCCAAATCACAGTAGATTTTTTTTTGTTGAGAAATTTGGGCTTATTAGAAACACGATAGGAAGGTTGTTTCCCAAGATAATTAGTAAAGATCACATAATTATCAAGGTCTTAGTGAATTTTATGTTAACAAGACACATGCATTCATTTTTACAATATTTCATATATTATGTTCTTTGATATATATTTAAAATAGTTATTGCAAGATTGTTTGGGAGGCTTAAGTAAGACTTTTTTTTTTCCTTACAAATTGTTAATAGTGAGCTAGACAATTTCTTTATTCATCTGATTTATGTAAATGTTTATTATTGTTGTAGTTTCTGCAGCATGTTAGTTTTTATTTATTTACATACATAGTTTTATATACCTATATTAGTCTGGGTAGAGAATATCTAATCTTTCCCAAAAATTGTTTACTACTTTACGAGCAAACTTTTTGTTTCATTTATATTAATACTTGATTTTATCCTAATTTGGTAGTAGAAATTTCAAATCTGAAATCCTCATAAATGAAATTGCAAAGGAATCCACGCTCGGTAACGTCACATACTGCTAGAAAGAGGGAACACAGAACCGGGAGGGGGCTTTAGTCCCTTCATATTTTATAAAAGAAGGGACACAGCCCCTTCTAACATTAAATTTACAATTAAAAAAAAAAAAGATATTTTTTTTGTGTCTGAATTCTAAAAAATTTTCTCTATTTCAAGCGAGCTTTAACATTTTCGTTTTGCTTGCTATTGCTATAGCAGGGAAAAATAAATTTCAATGTTTTTGCTTATATATTTATATATCCTCTAACATTATGCTGAATATAAATATTACCTGTAATAAATATTTATTCTAGAATATTTGAGGTAATATTTTCATTAATTAAACTAACAGCGGCTTTCTTAAGCCTTAAATGCATTCATTGTTATTCATCTTGTTCTTATGTTTCCTAAATGAATATTTAGGATTGATATAGAAAAAAAAAGACATTGAATAAAAAGGAATTTTCTACAGCTTTAAGACTACACTGGCAAAGCAAATCAAATTATTATAAAAAGAATTAGATTTTTATTTTTTAAGTTATAAGGCCGTTTTTAGCATAGCCTGGGGTGCATAAACGCCTTCCACCAACACAACAGAGGACTAAATGGATTTTAATCATATCTTATAGTAATCTCATTTTCAAGCTAAACTTTTCTCTTTTGTTGGCCATTTCAATGTTGCTTANAAAATCTGAAAAAAAGCGGAAATCCGCGAATCCGCGGAAGAATCTCATCCCTGCACATCAAGGTTATTTTTTTTCAACGTCATGGAACATAACGAGAATGACAATTTCCTATAGTTTTCAATTCCTTTTTGGTAGTACATTAATATATAGAATATAAACTTCATATCTATAGAACTATTAAAATTTTTTTTATTCTTTTATAAAATATCAACACTGTAAGAAGAAAATCGCAAAAATTCAACAAAAATACTAAATTTTTATTCTTAAAATACATTACTTCTTTTTCAACAAGCTCTACACTATATTTCACAGTGGGGTCTTTTAAAAGTTTCGGTGGATCTTTCTTCCTTTTAAGAATAAAGTGGACCAGTATGGCTGTAATAGTCAATACACCAAAAGTGACAGCAAATGGTACCACCTATAAATATCAAAAAATATAATAATAAATAAATAGATTAGCATATGTATTTCTTTCCTTCTTAATTACTTTTACAAGAGAAATTTCAAAACATTATTCCATTTTGGATTGTTTTATAGTTCAAAACAAGTTATAAAATATTTAAACTGAAAATTTTTATTTATTTCCTTATCTCAATGACTTTTGTGAGTTCTGTTACTTGATACTGTAACTCAGTAATATCATGTTTTCCACTATATTAAAAAATATAGGATGCAGATTCAATCGATTTAATTCAAATGCTATAAAGTCTTATCACAAAAATTACGACGATTTTTAGGATGAATAACTTTTGAATGTTAGTTACATAATTTCCTACACTTTTTTGGGGGGCAAATATGTTATGGGTAACACTGAAAAGCTACCACTTGCAAATATTAGTAGATTTACTTAATATTCACCAAACATTTTCAGTTTTTGAATACTGAATGTTTTATGCCCGGTGAACTGAAATGTTCGAACATTCGTTGTATACAACGAATTTTTGAAAAATTCTAGTTTTAAACAGTCATCCAAAACAAACCTAATTTGTAAGGATTTCTGAATTTTTATATTATTATTAATAGATAAAGAGAAAAAAATATTTTTGTTTTAATAGCTAAGATATCAGAAATATACCGATAATATACACTGTAAGAAGGATTCTAAGGAAATAATTATAAACAGTTTCTAAAGCGCTGTAAACAGCAAGATAAAGCACAAAAATTCTACTAACATTAGAGGCAGAATACATATTTTCAATAGCTTAATTGCAATATCAGGCCTGAACAAATATCCTTGCATTAAAGGTTATGTTTCTCTGTGCGTTTCTTTAATCACGAGCAGACAACAGTACTAAAATTGATGGATTGCTTACTGATAATTCAAACTGAGCATTTAGCTCTTTGTGTGAGATATTCCTTAAATGATATCTTCAAAGTTCAATGTGGGACAAAATATATTGATTTTATTTATTAAATTTTTTAAGTGTTTATTTCTTTATATATATTGCTTAATAATTGTTAATTATTTTCAGCAATTGAGATATTTCGTAAACGTGAAAACCATCAGCAGATCTTAATTTGCACAGAGCTAGGTAGGCAAAATCGACGTCTGGGATTTCTTTTTGTTTTCTTTTCTGACATAAGTTCCAAAAATAAAATCTGGTCATTGCCTTATGTTACTTATTTCTTACCGCAACTTATTTTGAAGTTGATATGACGTTCGTTACAATTTATTTCTAAGTCTGAATGGCGTCGGCAAGATCTTAAGTGCTTCAACGTATGCGTTTAAAATGTAAGTAAATCATTTACATTTATTGTTTCATTTTAAAATAACCAAGTTCGCTATTGTTTTATAAACGAAATCTTTAATGTCATTGTTGGATTTTTATTTATTATTTATTTAGACATTTTTTTTATTATTTTGCATCTAATTAAAGACTATATTATAAAAAATACAGTTCAACGAACTAATTAATTCATTGTAAAAAAATTAATAAATTCGTTATCGCTTGATATATATCAGTGCAAGTGGTATAAGACAAATTTACAAGACAGTGTGTTCCAATGGAATAACGACAACTGGAAAGAAACTCGGGAATATTTATCCTATACAAGTATTTTTAACTGATCACCACCACTGTCATTTGGCAAAATTTTACTGTAATTTTGGTTTTTAGAGAAATTTATTGTAATAATTTTACTTTTATCTCCGTATACTCCCTGGGGTGGGTCGGAGTTCAACCTATCTTATCCTATACAAGTATCTGCGCCTAAATAATTGCTAACTTTTGGCGACTTCCTGGCAATAGCATGCAAGATTCGAACAAAAAAAAAATATGTTACTGAAGGTAAATAGAAGGTATACTTTTAGCCATTCCCGGCAACCACCACATACTTTTATAAAAAAATTTGTAAGCTCAAAAACTGTTTGGTACGCTGATGATTGTAGTTGGCACGAACAGGTACTGATACAAAAATATCCTTCTAACATGTATATAAAGTAAGTCTATGTACAAATGCATATCTACAAGTAATAGATCATTTCTTGCCCTAACGATATAGAAACGGAATATTGACTGCTTAAAATAGATGGGAAAGAAGTCACATACCAAAACAAAACCACTAGTGTTAATAGCGAATGCCTAATCCTAATATATCTGCCATGGTTATACATGACTTAAAATTTATAATGTTACATATTATTTAAGAATCCCTGGAGAAGAGTAGCATTAAAATTGTCCCAGGTTTCAATGAAGTAGCCCTTAGATCAGTCACAAACTGAAACTGTTTGTCTTTGGTATTTACAGTCTTACTGAGGGTACTCTTTAACATTGTTTTGATGATTGAGATTAAGGGAAAGGGCAAGCCATTCAATGATATTCATCTTATTTTCTAAAAATCATTCTTGAGAACATTATTCAATGTAAATTTAGGTATTGCCCTATTGGAAAATACAATTTGGCTCAACAATTATATCTGCAAATGGTAGGAAATGGGTTTCTAAAATTTTTTGTTAATTGGTAGCCTCTTCGGCACTTGGGGGGAAAAAAAACCAAATAAAGTTTTCCACCATATCAAGAGCTTTTCCACGATGTTAATGGATCTTTATTTTGTGGTATATTGGAGAAAAAATAGTCTCTATTTCTCGTGCCATGTTAACGGAACTTAAATTTGTCTTGGCAAATCAAAATTTTCCTTGTTATCCTACTATGTACTGTATTGTTTTATTTCAGGAAGTTTAATACTATCATAAGACACTCACTATTTCAATTTGATTTTTAATTTATTTTTAAATTAGAAAAATATTTTAGGAATTTTCACTTTAGAATGTGCCAAATCCTCAAAATCTTTTTCCAACTAAATGAGTTCATTTTGTGTGATCAATTAAAGTCAAAAGAGGTGTTTTATATTTCCACCAACATCACCTTTTGTGCTTGATCTAGTAAAATATTTCCAACTACCTTATGCTTGGTTATTCATAGGATAATTTTTCTATAAACTTGTGTTTATGTTATGATCAAGATAGATCACTCCATAATAACTTCATTTTTGTCACATATTCTGGTAAATATTTTTAAAAATTTAATTGGATAGTAATTTAACTTATAAAAATATCATGTTTTTACATTTGACTTTAATAATCTTGTAAATTACATATGTTTTGTATAAACTTTGATAAAGAAACACTGCTTATATGAATAGCAGAGCTATAGTTCTATTACAGAGGAAACTTCAAATTTTGTGTATTGTAAAATCTATTTGAATTGTTCTTATTTCTATGACTTTCTGTAATTTTCAAGTTTTCTTTGATTCTTGCCTGTTTCTTCATTGGTGGTGAATCTTGTATCATTTTGTCATGTACATATTATCTCAATAGCTACCATTAAATTTATTCATTTTTTTTAATATCTTAAATCATTAAGTTTTATTTAGCCTTAATTCTCGAAATTTGGAAAATAAGGATTTTTTTCTTTGATTCTTTCAGTTCTTGTTCCTTTTGCTTTTTGCCTGTGATATATTTATTGAAAATAACCGAAAATAAACTGAGTAATTAATTCACATCTTCTTTTTAATGAAAATAAAAAATATTTTTTTCAGAAACTTGAAATTATTTAAAAAATATATTAAAAATATTTTTTCTCAAAATTTCAGAATCAATATTTCGCATTAGTGTTTAAAAGAGCTATAATTATTATTTGAATATAATTACATTCTAATTATAAGAGAGAGTCTTATTTTATATAATAACATTAAAATAGACTTATTTCAGTTGCAATGGAATGCGGCTATTTCACCTCAACACTATTTGCTTTCGTGTTCAGTCATAATTAAGCTTCTCATGTAGGTGGAACAATTTTGTCATGTTTGTGTTTGTTTGCCAAGGCAGTAGATTTCTATGGTGTGCCTGGCAGAACAACTTCTCTTTATTTTATTGTCTAAATAATATGTTATATTAATTATTATATTAAAAATCTCTTTTAGACTAAATTTCAATTATAATGGGGCAAAAACAGAGTCTTCTTCCCGAAGAAAAAATAAGAGAGTATGAGGTATTGAATTATTTTAAACCTCATGTTTTTTAACTTAGTTTCTTTCGTTATTTACTCATTATAATTCTTTTTTCTTTCATAGCTCCTCACATATCTCAATGAAAAAGAAATAATTAAGTAAGTTTTTCATTTCCAAAAAAGTGTTTAAGTGTTTTAGGATTATTTTGTATACTTTTTTAAAAAATATAAATAAATGATGCTATATTATTTACTGAAGAATCATCATACTGATCTCATCCTTTCACTACTTAAAGACAAATTATATTTTTGCATTGAAAATATTTCTAAATGTGAAGCACAGGAACAAAAAATTCATTCCTGTGGTATACTGTTTTGAGACTGTTTTCTTGTAAGGTTCCAAGTAATCTTAAATAAACTTTTGTTTGATTTTTCAGAGAATATTTATGTTCTGTGTAAGGGTAAAGTTGATTTATGCATAACATAAACTATTTATCAAAGAAGGCAACATTAAAATGGCTTTAGTTGTAATTTGCTCAAGGCCATGTAATTAGTATTATGATTCTGTAAGTTAATGTTGAAGGAGGCTTGTAATGTTAGAGACTTATTGACAAACTTACAAACTATTTTCAGAGCTTATGAAAGATTTCGTAAATTGGAGCCAGATATTGATCCCAAATCCTTTAATCCTGCATTATCATTACTAAAGCTTGATGAATTGCCAGAACTACAGGTATTTTTTAAATGCTTAAGTACTCATGATGTTTTTGGCAAACATTAAGAGTTAATTTTATTTATACTCCTTGAAAAGTTGCATTTCTCCATATGAAATATGTAGAATTTTTTTTCTGTACCTATGTGAAAATAGATTTTGATACATCCTGTATAGGTTAGTTACGTTTAGAACAATGGTAAAATCCGCAGTAAAAACCATGGTTTCTAAATTTTTGTCTTTAACTCTTACACGCAAAACTTTCTTAAACAGGCCCAAACTCTACTATTAAAAAATTATCCTGAACTTGATTTTATAGAAGTTGGCAAACTTAACAATTTGTTAGTCAAACAATTACTATTAAAAGATAAATATATCTAATAAAAACTAATTAAATTGAAAAAAAAAATGGTTTTATATAACTACAATTACGTAAATTTTAATTATAAAGTTTTATTAACGTTATTTGAATCTGCAATTATTAATATTATTTGAATATTTGATTGTATATATTTGATTGCATATATTTTATATTATTGCTAAATAGTATTTTTATCAACTAGCAAGTAGCTAATTGAAAAAGAAAAAATCAAATGCTAGTTACAGAAAAATGAAGTAGCAAAAATTGCTATTAACCTCTTATATTCCGGTTTTTCTTTTGCTTTTTCATCTCTTTGTACGAAGTTTTTCGAATTCTGATAATTTTAACATGACATTATAATGGCATGACGTTATAATTAGAGTAATGCTCGATTAACGATTTCATGATGAATCTGGGTCATTTTCCGATTGTTTTATTAGTAATTATTTATCGCTTTTTTGGCATTTTCAGTGTGGTTTTTAAAATTCTGCAATTTAATTGAGATGTTATTTGGAAATGCGAATTTTGAGTTAGGACACTAATCACCTTTTGACTCGATAGTTTCGTGGTAATTCCGTTTTAAAATCATGTTGTTTTCTGATCCTTTTTCAACAGTTATTTATCACTATTTTTGGTTATCTCCGCATGTTTTTTTTTTTACCTCTGATAAATATAATATGAGAATGAGATACCTGAAGTTCGAATTAAAATAACTACTTTTTAATGTGCATAGTTAGCGATGATTCCATTGTAAATACTCTGTTTTTTATAGTCTTCTTGCCGTTTCTACATAGTTTTTCAATTTCTAATCTTTTATTATAATGCTATTTTGGGATCCCAGTTTGGCTCTTTTATATGCAAGATTTATTGTAATGTAGTTACTTGAATTTTTAACTTGAAATTCAGAATATTTTACAGCTATGTGAAATAATGAATCATTATTTAAGTGATTCATTACCTTGAATGGGTATACTTATTTACTATACTTTTGTTTTATTGTAACATCAAACTGATATGAGCTAATGAAAATTTACTTCTATGGTTCTTTGTTCTGTTCTATAAATCATTTCTCCTAAATAAAGCAATTAGGAAAAGCTGAACTATTTGTTTTTGCAAGGGTATATAAGGTTGAATTGACTTACATATGGTACATTTAAAGTTATTTTAATTACTTTATTTTGTGAATTTTCCTTCAACAATTAACTGAGTTGCCTTCGGTGTATTTATATATTTAAACTTGCAATGACTATCTTGTTATTTTTTAAATGATGTTAAGTGCTTTTGACTTTCAGGTAAATCCTTTTAAAGATAGGTTAATATATTTATTCACCGATCCAACATCTAGATGCATGAGTTTTGAAGATTATCTAGATATGATGTCTGTGTTTAGCGAGAGAGCTCCTATTTCATTAAAAGCTGAATATGCATTCAAAATATATGGTATGAGATAACTTCTTTTTGTATATATAGTTTCAGATTGTATATAAAAATATTTCTTATTGTTTAATGAAATCACTTTTAAGTTATGTGCACCAGAGTTATGTAAAAATGTTGTCCATTTTGAATAAGTTTACTCAATGATATCAGGTGGATCATTCTCATCAAAAGGTGCTAAAATAGTTTCTATATTTATTTTTAATTTTTTAATAATCATAAATAAGTTCTGAGATATATACATAATTTTGCCTACATTTTAACGATTTAAATCACTTGTGCATTTAATATTCTCAAGTTAAATGTCTTTAGTTAGGACCTCAGTCTCAGAAATTTCTCGTATTGATCTGCAACATCTTTAAAAATTCTAAAATTTTTCTCTAGAGCATGGTACAAAATACTTGCATTTAAATGTTTCATTTTATAAGTCTGTAAGTTTTAAAAGGAAAGAATCTACAGTAGATTTTTTAATGTTCCCATAAACTTTCAGCCTAATTAATATTAGGATAACTTTTTTAAATGAAATTTTTTTTCAACATAAAGTCAACTTTTTTAAAGAAATTTGTCACCGAAAATAGACATCTTACCCTAGTAGTCTTTAGGAGAATTTTTTCGAGTTAAACTAATCTGATTTTTGTATTATATATGTGAAAATCTTTGATAATTTTTTATTTTTAGTCCAGTGACAATTTGGGTACCAGTATCACTCGTGATAATTTATTTGTTCTTTTCTATGCAAACCATAATATAAAATAAACCCAATTGTCCGAAATATAGTTCAAATGCAGCTTAGAGTTTCCTAGTTTTTTTTAGAACTACAGAATGTTTAGACTAATTAAAAGAAGCTAATCAGTTTTTCTTTTAATAGCGCATTCCTTTGTTAAATTTTTTTTTTCAGACTTTGATGATGATGATCTTTTGTCCAGAAATGATCTAAAAGAAATATTGTCTCGGTTTCAAGTATCTGAATTTAGCGGTCTGGAGCAGAGTGATTGGGAGGAGATTCTCAATTTTGTATGTTTTATAGCTATTTACAAATTTATTTTCTTTATCCTCAAAATTATAACCTAAACTAAGGGAATTGTTATAACTTGGAGCCCTTTAGAGAGGGTCACCTGCCATTTTTGTTTTAATAAATAGAAACAGTGAGAATGTTAGTCTTTGTGTAATACAGGGTATTTTTGCAATTTCTTTTTTATACAAAAATGCAAGATAGACTTAAAAGTTCATATATTATTTTCAGTCATCATTGATTTGGTGGTAGAAGATGAAAATGGTCAGAATTTATAGTTATTTAATAATAATAATAAAAAAAATTTGTTTAAAAAATGTTTTTTTACTCATTTGAATATCATGAATTTGAAAGACATTAATTAAAATTCAGCTGAATTCAATTATGCAATAAAATTATTTTTGGAGGGGTTGTGAACTTAAATTATTGAAAGGTGTAAATTTGTTGATACGGCAATGATCTTGAAAAGCGTAAATTCATGCTTTGATAAAGATTTTTATTTTGGTGGCTATTCAAAAATATTTGCACATAGAAATTAATCAATACATAAAAGGAATTTTTTGTTATACTTGAAATAGATTTTAGTCAAGTTTGCACGGAAAGTAGGGACCGATTCATGATTTCTATCTTGATGCCAATTTTTGTCAATAATTATGGCAAAATCTAAACTTTTTTGAAAAATTATAATTGCATTTGAAATGTAGCTTTAATAATTAAAAAATTTACCATGCCGGTGGCTGAGTGGTAGCGCCTCGCGCTCCCGTGCCACAGGTTCTGAGTTCGATCCTCGGGCTGAGTAAGGTTGACTCAGCCTTTCATCCCTTCAGTGGGTCGATAAATGAGTACCAAGCATGCTTGGGAACTAAACACTGGGGGTTTTGCGTTCGGCTGACCACCTAACCGGAACATCTGCTCCAGCACCCCAGAGCCCAAGGTCAAGAAAACTGAGATGGGCACAGTAGACCTTGGCCCTACTGTGGTAATAAGGCTTAGTGAAATTATTTTGTGCTAATATTTTCTAGGTAGGGCAAAATTTTAAAATAAAATTCAAAATTTGAAACATTAAGGTAATAAATTATTATTAGCATATTAAATTATATTTTCATAAAAGTATTGCCTGTTATGTAGAAATGTAGAAATTCCAATTTTCAAATAGTTTAAAAGTAATAAATAAATTTATTTTGCTGGTATTTTTTTTATTTTCTTTGTGACGGTGCCAATTTTGATAGTAAAAGTTATTGAAGTTTCTGGTAAGTAAAATTCAGTAGAAAAATGTACTTGCATTAGTCCCTTAAGTCCAGTTCCTCACACTGCCTATTTCACTTAGGCTTGCTAATTTATAAGAGGACTGCTACCTCATCAGTTCTGCCTGTGTATTGCACTTTTCAATGTTTGAATGTCCTTGTGATGTGGGTGTGTGAAGTAGTGACACAACTAAAAATTAAATTCTTAGCACTATATTTTTTAGTAGAATATTTTAATTATTTGAATAAATTTTAATTACTAGAAATTTTTTGTTGTTGATTGCTTTGAATTTATTTTGTAGGCTATGGAAGATGCTGATATTGATGAAGATGGATATATAGCTTTTACTGAATTTTCCCACCTTCTACAACGACTGGTTGATTTTCCAAGGTATTTTAAAATGCTGCTTATTTTTTTTTGCTATTGATTTGGATTTTCCTGGTATATTCTTCAGCTGAATATCTTCTGAGATCAAGAAATTTTTATTGCATGTTTAACTCTAATTGTAAACGTTATGTTTTGGTTAACTGTAATTCAGTTTTGAACATTCTTGTCCAAAGTAAGTGTGCAGCTATTTTTCAATCTAGGAATGTTTATAGCTTCTACACCTGAAAGTTTTAGTTTAATGTTATGAGTTTACATCAAAATGTAAAGAATAGGGCAAAATTGTCTATACTGCTAGAAGTAATAGATTATGACAGATTGTGTTTCAGTAGAAGAAATAAACACTTTTTAAAATATATTTTCGTTTTTCAATCATTTCATTCCTGAAAGGAGCATAAAGCCTTAGTTATACCTCTCCATTTCACCTAATTTTTAGCTAACTGCATTATCTTTTTCCAACCTTTACTTATAACTTTGATTTGTCTCTCAATGCCTCTTTGCTAAGTGATCGTTTTTCTTCCATTTTTTCATTTACCTATGGGAGTGTAATGCTAAGTCTTTCTCTTCTTAAACCTATGGAAGTGTAATACTAAGTCTGTCTTTCCTGAAATTTTTCTAGTATTCTCTATACATTGCCATTCTATCTCCACTTTCTATTTTTGATCTATATATATTATAAATTCGCTAAATTGTTTAAAATTTTGTAATAACTATTATTTATGGTATAATTTTACTTAGGTCTTTAAAAAATAACTTTTAATTGAAATTTTCTTACATTTTTAGCACTTTTGTTATTCGGTTGTAAAGTTTTCATGGATGTTAACAAGACTGCCTCTGCAATCTATTTTTGGATTGAAGTGCCTTCTGATGCCAAGAGAATGAAATAGTCTTTGCTAAAAAAATTTTTAAATTTGTTATCAATATTACTTTTTAAGAATTTTTATATATTACTATTTCTTTGTTGTAAGGAAAAAGAATTGGTACTTAAATACAAATGTAAACTTTTTTAGGAAATATTTATGAAGAAAGTATAAATGTTATAATTTTTCATGATTACATTGAATTAACTAGAACCTTATTACCTCAGAATATTACCTAAAGCCTTTTTTTGGCTTTTAACACTTTTCAGTATTTTCTTTTTAAAAGTAGTGAATATCAATTTTATATTCTTAGCTTATTTATACTACAGTGGCAAGTCCCATACCCAGAATCATTGGGAGTTTAGCTTGTCGGAAAAATAGAATTTTCCGGCGAGATCCTCAAGCAAAGATCTAAACATGCATGTTACGAAAAAATATTGTTATTGTTTAAATTATATTTATACAACCATTTAATCAAACGAAGAATATTGCTTAAGATAAAATAAATGCAGTTAAGTGTAAATGGAAATTTACAGATGATTAGAAATTATTAAGCATTAGAAAACAGTCCTAGTCAGCATAAAATTTAGAAATTAAAGTCTCCAATATCTAATTTTTGAATAAGTTCAACTTTTTTTTATAGATAAAATTGTATTTTTTGTTTGTTTGCCATGAATAAGTGTGCTTTGATGACATAAAAAATGCAAGGAAAAGATAATGGCGTTATTCAATTAAAAATGTAAAAAAAGAGAAAATATTCAAAATTTAAAATAATATGAAGCATTGAATATCTTGGTGAAATTTGATGTAACATTTCACTTCTTCAGCGTAATTCTTGATTTGCTTAAATGAATTTTGCTGAAACTTGTTTAATACTTTTTCTATTAAACTTCATAATTTGATAAAGGAAGAAAGAATTCCCTTTATTGCTTATTTTATCATCAATAATCAAAGAAAGAAAAATATTTCCCGAGGCTATGTTTCCCTTTAAACTTTTTCAGGTTTTTCATTTTCTCCCTCATTCCTTTAAAAAAATGGTTTCTTTATTTTACTTGGTGCCCTTTCTTCAATCAAAGAAGAAAAAAATACTGAGAAATCAGAAAAAAAATATACTGAGAGAAAAGCATGTTTTTCTTGCCATGTGCTATAATTGTTCAGATGTTACTAGAGGACAAGGGGCTCAATCCTGATTTTTTATTGCACTTTTTTCAGTGTTAAAGGTAAAGAAAGAAAAGAAACAGTTTGCCTTTCACATGAAATTTCTTACTGATGTATGACTGTGAGAATCTCACTATATATATATATATATATATATTCATTCAAAGTATTCTATAACAGATTGTATACAAAAAAAGGATTTTTGTAGATAAGGGTAAACATATATATTTTAATTGTTAAAAAGTGTCTGGGAAATTATAGATGGGCTATTATAATAGACTATTCTGGAAAATGGATATTTGACTGTGGGATTTTGTAAATGCATTTTTTTAACTGGTACATTACTTGGGAAAATAGTTTTTGAACCTCATTTATATCTATTATTTATACTTACATTTTTTACCTGTTTTACTTTTTTATTCATTAAACTTGGATATTGCAACTAGTTCTTCTTTTAAAGATAAGCATTATAGTTGTAGTAATTTGAAAATATTTGTCATTTTCTTGATAAAATATGATGAAAATTTTTTTGTGATACAATTTAGAATTATTGTTTCAGTCAGTCCAGTTTCACCATATTGTTAATTTAAGTAAGAAAGCTTTACACCTATAAATCTGTTATTTAGTTTTTCTATTTAATTTTATTGTCTAATTTTTTTTTTTTAAATGTTGAAGACGCAATTTTGAGTCTAGATTTGTTTAAGTAATATAATCTAATGGCTGTGTTTTAAAGTGACTGCTTGCCAGTGAAAGTGTTATACAAGTTTTCTCATTTACTTCAGCAATTAAAAAGTTTGCATTAGTTAACTTTTTAGTTAGTTGTTGAAAACATAAAAGCATTGGTGCTAACTTTGATGTTTTTTGCTGTTGTTATTTCTCAGTTGTTGTGAAATAATGATTATAGTGAGTGAAGCTATTTTTAATTTTACCACTTCTGAAAACATTAATGCTTGACTATCAGTTTTTAATGTGTGTTTGAGCTGTTTAGCTAAAGTGATCAATGGGATTTTAAATCAAAATTTTAAATTATTATTAAAAACAAAAGTATAAATTAGTCTTCCATATATTTTTTATACTGTGCGATTTTTTGCAGGATTTATGATTGAATTGTTTTTTCTTTTAAAATTTTGTTACTTAATATGATGTAATCCTTAATACTTTTTCATTGTTTTGGGCTTATAGCAAATGTGGTTTTACATTTTTATTCATCAAATTCAAGTCTTTTCTCATTAGGCTATACCCATAAATCAATTTTCAACTGTTTTCAATATATTTTTCTCATAAATGCTTTGATGATTAGTTGATTTGATGACTAAAATAATTTACATATTTAATAACAAGCTTAATAAATTAAAATTAAAATTTATTGTTTTATATGGTGCTTTACGCATAGTTATAATTGTCCATCTAAAGACACTGAAAGACGGAAGATTCATTCCTTTTTTAAATAATGCCTTTTGATGAAAGTTATAGAGTTTGTTATACTACACAAAAATTAAACGTTAAATGTTTTACAGTGTTAATAAATTAGTAGAACACATTAAATTTTGTTATTTTAACATGAAGATTTAAAGTCATATAAAATTTTACAATTACAATGTATCTACTGTATGTATGTATGTGAATACTGTACTCTCTTTGAAGTACCTATGTTGGGAAAAAATGCTGAGTGTCAATAAAAGACGTATTGGAAAAGATGTAAATTGTAATTTAAAATAATTCAGTCAAAACATTAGTTAACTAAAGTATTTTGATGAAAGAGGTTCTGATAAATGAAATTTTTCTGTATATCTGTGTTTAATGATGAGCAATTTTAACTATTAACAGAATGATTGAATCTGACTTCTTTTATATTTATATATATATATATTTAAAATCAGTGAACATTTAATATCATATTTTATAAGATATTAATCAATTTCTAATTGTTCTTTGTACCTTAATCAACAGCGTGTGTTTATTTTTACAAGGCATAGGTTTTAAAGATTGTATAACTCACATTTTAGTATTTTTAAAATCATGCTTCTCTTTTGTGTTATATACTTACATAAGAAAGTCAAATATACAAACTTCTTGTGGTTTTTAATACTTCAAATAGTTGTACTTGTGTGTGATTTATTAAACTTTTTTATGATTATTTTAGTGTCATGTTAAATTTTATTAATTTGTTATACTTATTTACATATCTTTGTTATAGTAATTACACATAAAGTCATTTTAAGCATGCCATTAACCACCATATTTCCCGTTAATTACTTCGTAGATAATTATAGATTCCTTGAAGTAGTTTTTAAGAAATGTGTTATAAATATGTAATGCACTTCTTAAGCATAATAAATTAAACCAAAAATCAGATATAAATTCAAAAAAAAAATAAATAAATCAAAAATAAATTAAACCAAGTAATTTTTTACACATAGCACAGTGCAATTTAAAAAATGTCTTCAGTATTGGAAAAAAATGCTAGAGTCAAAATTTTCAAAAATAGTGTCGAAATTTTTTTTTTTTTTAAATCTAATTGCTGTATGCAAATAATTAGTTTATACATAATAAAATGCAAATGACAATTTATTTTCTTTGTTATAACATTTTATTTTAAGAAATTCAATATGTTTTTCAAACAACAGGAAAACAATTAATTTTTTGAATTTGAACGTATGTTCAAAAGTATGCATATTTTCTTTTCCATTGGAAATATTTGTGAATATTCTCGATTGCGAATATTTTTAAAATATAACAACAAAATGTTAAGAAAGTTTGTGCACATTTCAAATTTTCAAAATTATTCCATGTGTCTTGGAAAAATTTATTTGATTGGAGTGAATTGGAATATTCTTCCTTTGACATCTAATGACTGAACCATGCAAATTATATGTATTTTTTTCATGCTGATTGCATAAGTCTGTTCACATAGAATAGACTTATCTTAGTGTTTGAATTATGATTATGCTGCATTAGTTTTACATTTTTATGTTCATCGGGTATTTTCTTATTTTCTGTTGGAATTATTGCGTTGTATTTTGCTTTTTTTTAATCATATTTTATGAGAAATAGTGTTAGTTAAATAAGATTTTAACACTATGAAACCATACATATTCACTTAAAAACATGTTAAACTCAAAAGTACTTAGAAAAGAATGAATTGTATGAGTGATTGTTGCTCTTAGCACATTCTAATCTTTTTTTTAGATCAGAAAGGATTGTGTTCTAGTGAGGCCGTTGAACTTCTGAGTTTTCAGATCTGTAGTATTTGCACAGTACAGGATATCATTAAGGATGACTTTGTTTATGTAGAAAGTTTGGATTGATGTAAATTCAGAAAATATTCATTGAATTTTACTACATCTCAATTTTGTCCCACAGTCGTTCTTATCCATTAAGATTAATTTAATATATGGCACAGGCTTTATAAATTGAAAAGTTTTCATACCTGAAAAGAACAACAATTTTGATGGCAACATTGTTAACTAAGGAAATATGCTGCACACGTATCTTAATACCAGTAGGTCTTAATTCTTAAATGTTATACATTAAAATTTTTTTTGTTTACAAATCTGTTCAAACTCACTTTTGAGATCTTAGACTTAAATTTAGCTCCAGAGTCAGTTTTTCTTATCCTGTGAGAGACTAAAATTATTTAATCTTTATATCAATGACAAAGTTAGCTATTGCCACTTTGAATAATTTAAAAACAAACCTAGAACCATTAAAGAAAAAGAAGTTAACTAACCAAAATAGCTATGTTAAGTTGAAAATAGTAAATTTTTATAAACACTTCCAAGTCCATCTCAATCTCATTTACTGCTTAGCAGAAATGGCTAATATTTCATTCAAAAAAGTTTTAGATCTATCTCAAAAGTAACATGTTATTTTCAAAGGTATTTTACAAAGTAACAGAAGTTACAGGACATGGGTATTATAAAAACTATCTTTATCTTTTTTTTTCTTCGTCAAACCAGGCTTTTATGTTTATTAGAAATTTCTGTTGGTTACTTAAAATGAAAGTTTCAAGTGTATAGTGACCGAAATTTTTGTTATTCAACTTTATTTCAAATGAGAAAAAAAAGTATTTTAATCAAAAATCAATCATAGTATTTATCTTACAAAAATGGCAACTTCTATAATTTTTAGTTCTTCAAAAATTCTTTTCAACTGACTACCTCATATGCTCACACATTATATGAGCTTATTACAGAGTATTCAGGGGAATCTTATTTGTTAAATAAAAAAAGAAAATATAATAGAAAAGAGATAGAAGGAAAAAAAGGGATATAAACAAAACTTTCTCATTGACTGATTTTCTAATGAGATGCAAGAAAGTTAGGGGGTACCATGCAAAGATTTTTCAAAATGCTAACTGATTCTTCTTTTTTGAATATTCTTTAGCATTTGTTGTAATTTTCTTAATCTTAAAAGTTAAGCACCAGACAATATTCTCTCTTACAGAAATTTATTTCAGACTTAGAAGAAAAACATTCTTTAGAATATGAGCTTTACTCAAATTCTTAAAAAGTTTAGTCATGCTGTTTCTCTTGTAGAGTGATATTCAGAAAAGGAGTCTTGGTGTTTAGGTTCCATATTATGCTTAAAATATTTCAAAACTGTATTATTTCTATCTTATCTTGATTGTTTAAGTTAAATATAGCTGAAAATAATGTAGTTTTGAAGGATTTTATGTGTGAGCTGCAATTCAATCACCTGGTCACCTTTTCTTTATATGCTCACGTACTTAAGGAAACAAGGGTGTAAAACAATGAGAGCTTTTGTTAATGAGGATAAAACTAACTGCTAATCAAATCATAAGGTTCAAAATCATTCCTAGTGAAAGCTTATCATCTTTTAGTAAAAATTTGAGTTAGCAAGAACTTCTTGCCAGAAGTACGAACTTAAAAGTAACTCATTCTAGTGATAAGTTTTAAAACGAACTTTATGTTAAAAAGTACATAGGGGTATGTATTGTGCTTTGGAGCAACTTTATATTTCTAATTTTTTATTCATATAACTTTGAACGTTTATAACATACATTATACTTATGTTATTAATATAATTATTTTGTGAATACAAATTTTTTTTAAATGAAGAAATTTAATGAAAGGTATACATTGTACCTTAGAGTTGCCAATACATATTTAAACGCATAATTTACTCTTAAGGTTTGAGTTTCACAGTTCAAAAATTTTACAAGAAATGATAATATTCTTTGTAAATTTTTTTTCAAGTTGTTGTTAGTTTTTTTTAATGCTGTTGACGAAAGATAATTATTTCAAAACTAAGTTGATTATTCATCAGAAATGCATGAAAGACTTATGTAGAGAGGGTGACGACACACCTTCCAGATATCCTGAATTATGAATATTATTTGCTATTGCACTTAAATTACTAGTAACTACATCTGCTCATGACAAAAGTTTTGCAACTCATAGTAGAACTAAAATCTGAAGACCAAGCTTTGGGGATGAAAAATTGACTGTCTTTTCCAAATTACCTTGTGAAGGGACCCTCTTTTCATGAAGTTCGAACATGCTATACAATTGTGAAAATTACTTAAAAATATTGAATAGGGTTTATGAATAAATTTTATTTTTTAGAAACCTTAATCTAATTTATTAATAAAAAGTGAATAAATATGTAAATAATGGGGCATTATGATTTTCGGTTAAATATTCAATCTATTCTGGAGTGTTTACTTTTTTATATTTATTATTTTGGTTATGATATTTATGCCATGAAATCCTGGTTATTTTCAAACCTAATCACTGTTTTGTAGTCTATTTCTTTTAAAATTTCACTCCTCAAAAATTAATCAAGGAGTGAAATTATTTTAGATTTTTTTTGGAGGGGGGGGGTGAGGGAAACTATGCTTTGGACCACCATAGGCTGAATTTTGGATAAAATTTATTTTGATTTCTGGTCTTTTAAACTTAAGTTGATTGAAGTTGGATATTTATGTAATTATAGCTTATTTTTACTAATATTTTTGAGTAGCTTGCATTAGCTGAAATAATTAAAAATGTGATAACAGATATTTCATTTGAATGTTTCAAAAATAATAGATTTACGAAGAGCATAGAAATTTATGTATGTTGTACGTGGCTAAGTCTACAGAAAAATATATTTGTGCTTACCTGGCATCCAGAAACACCTACTGAACATACCTTGTACCAATCAAAGGTACTAGTATACATTACTTTGATTTTGTTAACCCTAACAAAAATAAGTTATTCATTTTTTTTTGAAGTCCCTTACGAAATTTTATCCCTTACGAAATGACATTTTGGTACTTATCTACTTAAATTTTCAGAGGTAAGTACGAGAGTTTAAGAGGTTAGTAAAGGTTTTATTTCCAAATGGAATTGATAGAAAAACTACTGAGCATCAAAAGAAAAAAAAATTTCTTTAGTACATGCCTGAAATTACAGAGAGCACTGCAGATAGTATTTGTTGTTACATGTATCATCTACATAGTTCTCTCTCCTAGGTGGTGTAAATATTTGCACTGGTACATGGTATAACACTCTCCCCTACATTTTTTACCGGCTGCTCCATTTTTTAAAAACTGATCTCTCTTACAAATATTTCAAAAGCTGTTTAATTAATATATTGGAAATATAAATGTGTGAAGCAAAATCTGTGTTTAGTAAAATATAATATTGATTATTATGATTCTTAAAATTTGTAATGTGTTGAAATATTCAAGTAATTTTGTAGTTGATAATATATTTTTAGGCATGGAACTGGGAGGGAGCAGTTAGAACACTGCAATGAACTATTATGTAGAATGAAATTACTAAGAAATAAATCTAAATTAAGAGACCATATATGGGTATTTCTAATTGTTTCATGTCCAAGATTCAGAATATCTCATTACTATTTATTATATGCATGAAATAATTTTTTTCCATAATTAGAAAATTGTTGATACATTAAAAATCAAAATGATCTTTATGTATAATTTATGATCAACATATACAGGAACTTAAATAACATGGCATAGTCATTAAAAGGTTCATAATTGTTTTTTATTTAAATTTGTAAGTACCTTTCCAAATTTGATTCCCTACTTGCAATTTTTAGTTCCAAGTAGCAGAGTTAAAAAGAAAATATCTTTCATTAAAAATTTTACATGAAAATTCACAAGATTACATGTAGCATTTAAGTAACATACATAATATATGCATAGATACATATATACACAAACAAAAAAGTTGTACACTTCACTCAACACATTTCATAAATTTTCCATATTCATTGGAGAACACATTGCATTTTTAAAAATATTCATAAAATTATGGCAACTTTTGATTTTGATAAAAAAGGAACAACAAAAACATAAAACATGAAGACTTTTCACAAATAATATAGTATTCAGTACAGTGCTCAGCTCTCAAAAGTTTGAGAAAATCTCAACAATTGTTTCGATAAAATTGTTTTTGTATGTTAAATAAAAATTATGTGTTTATAAAGATCTGTATCTCTCCTTGTCAACTGCAACTGAAAATCTGCAGTTTTTAGTAAGTTTTAGGATAGTCGTGGAAGATGATAAAATGACTTAAAATATATAATGACAAGTTTATCTTGAGAACATTCACACTGCTGACTCAGAGTTAGGAGGTATCGGCAGTGGGGGTGGTCTTGCTTCTACAGGAGCTTCATCATCATGAAATCTAACAGAGGAAGCTTTGTAGCAAACAAAAGCATCAACAATAAAAGCACCAAACATAATGATGGCGGTAAGACCATGAAACATCATTCGAAATTTCATAGGGTCATATAGACGGCAGGCTCCTGGCTCTCCACAATTGTCTTCCCAAAACAGACATGTAGAGTCTACCACTGCACCATAAATTACTGGACAAGGAACATTTCCTGCAACAAATCATTGCAGAAATTAACTATTTTTTAAAGATGAAATAAATAAGTTACAAAAGTTGCTAACAGATGGTGTTTTACTCTGTAAATATAAATCAAGGGTAACTCTTCACTGTGCAAGAACTCTTTATTGATACAACAGAGTACAGTCTCATCTTTTAACATATATTTTATTTGTATCACTCATTACAGCGTAAAGTGCCATCAATTGGCAACTTTTGCTTTTATTTACAGTCCTTTTGTGCAACAGGCTGCCAACTTTTTTGTTTTAGTTTGTTTTCAAGTTTCCAAATTATATATAAAAGTCTTGGATTTTATGAATCAATATACTGTTTATTTCAAATTATTATCGTTTGTTATAAAGTAAACTATTGTTTCTTTCTTCATTTTTTATGTTCTGAATTTTATTTTTTCCCTTAAATTTGGAAATCCTAAGAAATATTTTAAATTAAATTGGTTAAGATTTGAACTAATCAGTACTTTTGTACTAGATGTGTCTATTATAAAAATTTGTGTCGATTATTAAAAAATAGATATTTATGTTTTATTAACTACTACTAAATAATTTTTTGCATTGTCTTGCTATTTGAATATAAATATTTTATAGAAATAGTTTAATTAAATAATAGAATAATATCAAACTTGCTAATCAAATTATGTTTGGGATTACTTAAGTTAGATAACATCAAACAAAATTACTGAATTAAATTTTTGAAATTGTTTTATTTAATAATAAGCAAAGATGGCAAATTATGGTTATAACATGAAAACATTTATGGAGATACCTCATCATTTTTTTAAAATATTTATATAGATTATTAAAATTAAACTAACCAAATAATCCAATGGCAAATGAGATCAGACCCAAGGCCATAGCTTTGTCCTGTGGCTCTACACATCTGAAAAAAGTTAAATTTTTTTTTTTTACTTACTGTACGCAAGGAAAGAATATTAATAGAGTTAACATGGTTTAAAAATCAACCCCTAACTGAATTCAGTGTGGTTCAAAGTTCAATTCCTAATTGAATTCAGTTAGGTTCTAAGTTCAACCTAATTAAATTGAATTAGGTTCAAAATTCAGCCTAATTGAATTCAATTAGGATTTTAAACTTAATTAATTTAAATATACTGACCTTAAAGTAAGAAGCATTGAGCCAACTTCTGAGGTTGAATGGATAAGTACAAAAAAGGAAAATATTACAATATACCAAGTAAGATTATTGCATTCCATCGTGCAAAACCCATTTTTGGCTGTAACTCCTTCACCCAAACATTGACAGTCCATGTATGTGTACTGAAACAAAAATGTATGTAATGAAATATAATTTATTATGTATATTCAATTAAGTTATTTTATATTTAAACAATTCAAAAATCTTGTACATATTTTCAATTACTATAATGATTATTTTATTTGAGAACTAGGAATCAGATGATCTATACATTTACACGAAACATTTTTAACTATTGGAAATGGTAACAGGACGCACAGAAAAAAAGGTTTTTGACAAGTCTTTTCAAGTTTGTTATAAACTGAGAATTTTTGAATTTTGAAGTAAAAAGTAAATAGATTGAAGAATGCATAATACAACCTAAAAGTGAAAAATGTATTTAATACCAATTTTTTTACTATCAAATTTTTAAGCTGTAATAAATTTTAAAAATAAACGTAAAGTTTAAAAATGTTTATTTTTTAAAAAATCTTTTTAAATTTAAAAAATATCAACCTCACAGTTGAATTATTTAACGCTTTAAACTGGCGCTTATGTGTGTTGTATAATCTGCAGCTATGGACCTGGGTGCTATCACTACTGTCATTTATTAATTTTTGTACATGTTAAAGTGAATCCAGAGCTATTTCAGTTGAAAAAGGTTTTGGTGTAAGTTGTCATAGAATTATACAGAATGTTTAGTAGGTAGCATTTTAATGTGTATTTTTAAAATAGCTATGGAAAATAAAATAAAATTAGGAAACCATTTGCTCACTCGCAACCAGAAATTAAAATTTAGCGTGAAAAAGTTTATCAAATTCTGATGAATCGTTATCAAAATAAATCTGATAATAACAATTTTATCATTAATATCATCAATAACAATTTTATTTTTCACATTAAACTGATATGCATTTTATTTTATTTGATAAATAAATTGGTTTAAAATTTTTTATTTCGTTATTTGATTTGATTTATTTTGATAATAAATAGTCAGATTTTATTGTTTTTCTTCTCTTAAATATAGATAACTTCTGGCAATTTCATTTTAGAGGTAGATTCTAAAAATGTATATCAAAAGTGATGATTCTTTAACACTTTACAAATATTTTGCTAGATTTTTAATATAAATATGAATATTTGGCAAAAATATTTAGATGTCAAGAGAAAAACTTACATCATCACCCGCTTCTTTCACTTTAGTGCAACCTGCAACACAAGGTGATAGATATGTTTTTCCATCAGTTGCACAAATCGGTGCAAACTCTCCTAACCTACATTCACAAGTAGCATTGCATGCTTGGACAGCTAAACCTCCGGGTCTCCTGAAATAGTTATAAAAGGTTTGTATAAAAATATTATTTGTTATAAGGTTTGTATGGACATTAAACTAATGGATTAAAAAATCACTTGATATTAGGACTTTAAGGCTGATTTTCGAAATCTCTGTGGGTTTTTTTGTGTGAATAATGTGCTATTTAATAACTGTTGGGAGTTAGAAACAGTTATCCATGACTGTTAGGTCACGTTTAGCTTATTTTTAGCCAGCGCCTTTCAGAAAATGGTCAATGTGAAGAACAGCCACAGTTTTGAAAAAGTCGTACTTTTAAAATTCAATTTCTCAAGAACTATTTGATCGATTTCACTCAAATTTTGTATTTTGCCATGTAAAATTACATTCTTTAAAACGATGTTAAAAATTGTATACCTTACAACTCAAATTCTTTTCGACTAATATTTAATAAAATATAATAAATGTTTACTATAAGATATTTTTTTTGCATAGAATTATCTTTGGATAAACGAATTTTATAATTATGTTCAAAAAATTTTCAGTTCGCTTACAAAGTTATCGAGATGTGGCGAAATACGCAAAAAATAAAATTAGCATGAAGAGGTGCAAACTTAGGACCACTCTCATGATCAAACTATTGGTATTCCCAGCTTGCTGCTGCCCTTATATTTTCGGGGTCAGAATTCTAAATTCGTCGAAAATAGGTACATTTTTGTGTCTGATTTCATAACGTAAAATATCGTCAACAGTAATTTATTATCATAATTGGGGTCATCTTCCATTAAGATTGAATCCTAGAACGTGAAGATCCGATTCTTTAGATCAAAAGTTATTCAGGGGGTTCCGTTTCGTTATTTATTTTTTTGTGCATTAACTTTAAAGTTTTGAGAAAACTATTTTTCTAATTTGCTCACGGCTGATTGAATATGATAGTTTAATTTCAGTTTGACGAACTACTTTGTTAAAAATACTCTTGACTTGTCGCACTACTAGATAACTTAATATTTTTGATTTGTTGCACAACTAGATAACTTAATACTCTTGACTTGTCGCACTACTAGATAACTTAATATTTTTGATTTGTTGCACAACTAGATAACTTAATATTCTTGACTTGTTGCACTACTAGATAGCTTAATATTCTTGACTTGCTGAACTGCTAGATAACTTAATATTTTTGATTTGTTGCACAACTAGATAACTTAATATTCTTGATTTGTTGCACTACTAGTTAACTTAATATTCTTCATTTGTTGCACTACTAGATAGCTTAATATTCTTGATTTGTTGCACTACTAGATAACTTTTTAAAAAGGATTTTTTGATCATATATGACCCCCAAATCCTATGAACCAATTTCCGAAAACAGAACTTTAATTTTTATGTTATAAATGGAATAAGATAAGAGAGAGGAATAACTTACCCTGGATTAACCTCGTCTAATCCAACAAAATTATTGAGAGGACATCCAACCCACATAAGGATTATCATACCAATTGAATAAGCTAAAGCAGATGCAGCTATCCATTTTGCGACAAATCTCGCACTAGGTTTAAAGGATCGCATAAATGAACCACTGGCAAAGATTCCAGCACCCATAACGAGGATTCCAGCCATCCCTAAAAATTTATAACAAATATAAACAAAATTATATTTTAATACACTAAGTTTGGGTAAAGATACGAGAATAAGAACTAAACACTTTAGCTGAATAAAATGTCAACATTAAATGAAAATTTGAAATAATACTAGGGCTTTAAGTAAAATAGTGGTGAAGCATGCTTGAAAAACATTTTTTAATGAACGTACAAACACATTACAGTGCATTCCACCAATTAGGAGACTCTAGCCCATGATTCGTCAACCACTGAGGATATTTTACGTCAGCACTGTGGTCAGTGCAGGCCGGATGCGGAATACCAGCCATCTCTGGGATTCGGACCCGGTTCACCTCATTGGAATACGATGACCCCTGAGCTATCACGACTCTCAAGCGTATTATTAATATCCTTCCCATATATGCACAACATATCTGCTTGCAATTATTAGAGAGATTTAGCATATAGTTTATCTTGCGTTAGCTGTAACGTTAACCTACCCTTTAGCGAAGATGAGATATGTTGGAGAATTTTCACACATCCGTTGTGAAACTCAAATAGCGTTAGAGTTAGGAGAAACTGTAACGTCTTGCAAAATTTGTAATTACTGTACACAAGTCATTTGTGATACAAATAGTAATAAAGACAAGTTTTAATTAAAATTTTGATTTTTGTGCTGCGAAAATTTAGCAACTATTGATATTAAAGATAAGTTACATTTTTTAATTAATGAGAAGCATTTATACACAATTCCATTATTTTTTTAAAATATTTACTGAAAGTGTTTTTAAGTACGAAAAAGGATCTTACCTGAGATCATGTTAGCTTTTGTAGCACTTAGTTGAAATTGGCTTTCTAGGTATTTTGGTAGAAAAGTATAAAGACCAGCAATAGGTAATATATGCAAAACACTGCTAGCTGTTCTGTAGAGAAGAATATCATTCTTAAGAAGTCTTTTCAAGGCAGTGGGAAAGTCTAAATGAGAGAAAGGAAAATGTAATTAAAGAAATGTAAAATAAGCGAAAGGAAAATGTAATTTTTTAATGAATAATTTCTTGAAGAAATGCCAGAAAATAATTCATCATACTTTAAATTAAATACTTTGGAATAACTTATTCTGAAATTTTAGAAAGGAAAATGTAATTAAAAAAATGGAAAATGTAATTTTTTTTATAAATAATTTCTCCAAGAAATGCCAAAAAATAGTTGATCATGCTTTATATTTAATACTTTTGAATTACTTATTCTGAAATTTCAGAAAGGAAAATGTAATTAAAAAAATGTAAAATAAGAGAAAGGAAAATGTAAGTTTTTAATGAATAATTTCTCCAAGAAATGCTAAAAAATAATTCACCATTTTTTATATTAAATACTTTTGAATTACTTATTCTGAAATTTTCTCAATTGAAATTCTCATAGTCACTCTTTACGACAGTTAAAGTGATATTATATTAGTACTTCTACCTGATCTAGTTTTTAGGACAGCGTTACCCGCCAGTAGAACTTTATATATTTTGTCACTAATGTATTGCTACAAATATAAAATTGACGCTTAGATAAAATAAAAGAATAAATAAATAATAATATATTACTTGTAAAAGATTGTAAGATAAATAAAATGAAGAATTAATTCATAATTTTTGAAACATTTGTATAAATGTTCTTTTCTGGTGGCACCACTCAGAAAAATTTCTCCGCGTAGCATTGTATACGTACTTTCTCTGTATAAGAACTTCTCATGCAGTGAAACAGTTTTACAGTTATAGAAACTTGGCGATAAAAATGTTATTGAACTCATACTAAATTGCTGACAATCTATATACCGTAAACCGGGGCGAGTCTACCCATCCAGAACGAGTCTACCCATTTTAGTTTTATTTAATTTTCACTATTTTAAATTGCAAATAAAAATTTTTTTACCGACGGAGGACTTAGTTCAGANTCGATTTCACAGCTTTAAAGAGGGATAAATAGCGATTCCGAAACACCTATTAAAATTCTTTTTTCTTTAATATTTACAAAAGTTTGACCACTTGAAAGTGGACAAACTGAAAAAATGGGTAGACTCGCCCCGGTTTACGGTACATATTATTTTATGTATCGATAAAATTTTTGAAATACTTGAATCGATGTTTTTCCGGATCTCACCACTCAGAGGAAACTTTTGTGAACGTTCGTGGTAGGGTAGTATGTGCTTTCACTGTATCAGCATTAACCATGCAGTGAAACACTTTTGCAGTAATAGAATCATGGGGAGCAAAATGTTATTAACCATTTATTAAATTGCTGATAACCTATACAAATATTATATGTATTAATATAATTTTTGAAATTTGTACGTTTGTATTTTATTACTTGTATCGATATAATTTGTGAAAATTTTAATAAATGCTATGTCATTTGACTTCATAATAAATTTATGATAATCTATGCATACATTACTATATGTATAGATATAATTTTTCAAATACTTCAATGAATGTTTTTCCAAGTTTCACCACTCTGAAAAAAACATGTGCAGAAGCTCTTGGTAGCGTAGTATGTGTTTTCACTCTATAAGCATTAACCATGCGGTAAAAGACTCTTACAGTTATAGAAACTTGGCAATCAAAATGTCATTTAACTCTATATTTAATTGCTGAAAACTGTACACATATTATTTTATGTATAGTTATAATGTTTGAAATAATCGAAGGGAAAATTTTTCCAGGTTTCACCATTCTAAAAAAAAATTCTTTGGTCGCTCCTGGTAGCTTAGTATGTATTTTCCCTGTATAAGCACTAACCATATAATACAACACTTCTACAGTTACGTAAACTTAGTGATTCTGTGTTATTTAACACCATACTAAATTATAGAAAGTCTATATAGATATTATTATATGCACAGATATAATTTTTGAATCGTTGCCAAATTTAGGAAACCGTTTCGAAACCATATTGCTAAATTGCTAATCTTAAATGATGATGTGTCTATGTATATTGATATCGTCTACGTTATATTAATATCGGGTTGAGTAAAAAGTTTTCCACCAAAAAAAAAAAAAAAAAAAAAAAAAAAAAAAAAAAAAAAATTTTGTAAAATGATAGATACATGCAAAATCATCAAAGCTAAGGAGGATAGTTATCTCCATTTAAGCCAACAATGATCTACCAGCGTTTTGGCAACATTTCAATCCTTTCTGCGAAGAACTGTGGCTTGCGCGAATCCAGAAAGCGATCGACCTCATCATTTGAATGGAAGATTGTGCCATCAAGATGCAGCTGCAGATATGAAAACAGATAGTAATCGAAAGGCGCCATGTCTGGCTTGTATGGTGGATGTTGCATTTTGGTGTAGATAATAAAGTTTATAAAGATAACACAAGATAATAAAGTTTTGGGAAACAAATTGCACAGTTGTGTAGTTCCAACTTTCAGCTTTAGAATGCAAAAACCCGATTGGAGAAAGGCTAACTACCACTGGAATGGCTGCTGTTGGCGCGGAGATATCTCCTCTTGGCGCAAAACTTTTTACTCTACCCGATGATTTTAGAATGTTTTAATTGTAACAATTAAAAACAAGTATTAGAGTAAATAAATTCACGATATTTTTTTCCACAAGGTAAGAACTTGTAAAACAAATAAAGCGCCACCTTTTTCGTTTCGTACGATTTTATTACCAGGCGTAAGGTTTTCCATACATTTCCGTAAGGTTTTCCATGACGTAAGGTTCCGTAAGGTGACGTAAGGTTTTTCATGACTCAGGAACATATTTTCGATAAGTAATAACAATATTTATGAGACAACTAGCTTGTTAGCAGAGTTTATTTGCTTTTATTTCTAGTGAATGTTCTTATACATAAAATAAAATGCATAATTCTATGAACAATTTACGCCTAATCACAAAAGTTTTTGTGTTTGTATTTTTTGTATGAATAACTGACCACTTTAGGTATACTTTCACATGCAAATGTACACTCGTGTATCATTGATTTTATTTCAAAGGAAGGGAGCATATTTTCGGTGTTCTTAATTTCTTATGGGAAATAAAAAAGCATTAAACACTAAAGAAAACTGCAAGTATTTAATAATTTCCAAGCTTTTTTTTAAACTTAAATATTCGCTGCCGAGGAAGGCATAAAAAGTTGGTTAAATGAATAAATTTGAAAAAAAAAATATAATAGAATAATTAACTGGCTCATGTAAACATGAATAAATATTTCTTAATAATTCCTCATGTTTAATATCAGCCAATTTTTTATTCAAAACAATTTCATAATTAATTTTCTCAACGAAGTTCGTCTCCTTTAAGTAATGAAGTAGTAACTAAAATTCGAAAGTAGTTTGTAGTCACTGCATTTAAATAAAGGTACTTGTAGTTAATTACATTTGTAACAAAGTAGTTGTAGTAACCTACAAAAACAATGTAGTTTTTCTGATTACTATCTGAAATATATAGCATTAAGTATCCGCAATTTTGTGTAAAACTATTTGATTATAACTAAGTATTAAGCTATTTATAATACATGTTTGAAAGACATTTTTCAGAAAACTGGTGTTGGAAGGTAAATGGTGGGAATGAAACCTTATCCTATATTCTTTCCTTGCAATAGAAAACCATACAATAGAAGCTAATTTTATTTATTGAAGCTAATATTTCCTTACAATAGAAACTAATATCCCCCCCCTGCTTTTCAGTTCCTTGGGGGGAGGGGAGGGAGTGTTTTATCACTGAAAGAAAAGTCTGACTAAAGTCTCCAAAGGTATCTGTTCTGGGCAACTGTTTCTCGGTAAAAGATGGACAGATTAATGATTATACTTTTAACAAAGTATATTTATAGTAACTAGTATATCTAGTTTTATTTGCAATGCAATGAAATGATAAGTTAAAAACCATCTGAAATAATTAGTTAAAATTAGTCTATGATTAAAATATGAAATTTCGATTGAAACAATTTATTTGATTTAGAAAATATTACTACTATTTTTCTTTGGGATTTTTGCCATAACATATTTATTAAACAGATACTAAACTAGTTGTTTTCCCGAAACGATAAGGGTAAGTTTATTCTATTGTTAAAAAATTTTTAAAACAATAAGTAACAAAACTCAGAGAATATAAAATATTGATTATATGTATAATATAACATATTTATACTAGTTTAATTTAAGACTAGGTTACTTCAAAAGGCAACTTATCGTTATGACTAAATGTAAGATTCAGAAATGAACATAGTTTGTGTAAAATAGCTTTAAAAAAGGTTTTCTTTAAAAATATTCTGTTAAAAACTTCGGTTTTTGGTATAAATAATAATAATACGTTTATAATAATTCTAATTAAAACATTTTATTACGTCAAAAGACAATTTATCGTTACGACCATATGTAATAATTAGATATGTAATATTCTGAAATAGTGTAAGTGCAAAAATGATATTTTTCCTCGCAAATAAAGTGCTAGATGTTTTTTAAGTCCCTTTTGCAGACATAGTTGGTGTAAAATAGTTTTCAAAAAGGCTTTCTTTAAAAATATTTTGTTGAAAATTTCTATATTTGATATTATATATTTGATATTATATATTATAATAATAATACGTTAATAATAATTCTAATGAAGACAACCGACCAACTTTTAAGACAACTTATCGTTACGACCATAGGTAATATTTAGATAAAATGTAAGTATAAAAATAATATTTATCGTGACAAATTAAACGCTATATGACTCTTAAGTCTTTTTTTTAGGCAAAATTGTTGTAAAAGAGCTGTCAAAAAAGTTTTTTTTAAATTTTTCTTTACTATTAGATAGATTATTATTTAGAATGAGTCGTTTCATTTCTAGCAAAAAAATTCTCTCTTTTTATTTCCTTTAAAAATATTAAAAGTTTTGTCCTTGATACATCCTTTTACATGTCTACAACTTGTAGAATGAAAGCAGCTGTCATTGTTGAACAGCATGTAATCTTATTAAATAGTCTACCTCCAGCTATCTTAACTCCTACGCTCGAAACGCCAGCTATTCAGAACGAAATTATGTTCGGTAACATCATTGGGGATTAGGTAGTTTTTTTTATTTTGTTGTACGTTTAGTTTATGATTTGAGAAAATACAGTCGTAATAAATTTTGCAGGAAAAAAAACGAATTTGATCAATCTTAAGAAAAGAAACACAAATTTCAATATTTTGCTTGCAATAAAAATATAAAATTTTAGTACCAATAGAGAAATAATAACTTCTTTTTTTGACGATAGCCTACACTGTAAAATGTTTTGGTGTATAGTTGCTACTATTTTTGATATTGAGGTAAACTAAAATTTTTTTACAGTGCAAGCAGTCACATTTTTTGTTTACTTTTTCATTGTTATAGTTTTATTAATTAAATAATTAATTAATTTTTTTGTTTACTTCTCTATTGACAACACACATTTTCATGCGCATTATAATCAATTTATGACTTCATTGAAAACCATACCATTTGCCAAACATCGATAAATATATACTTTGGGATGAATTATTTGTTAGTACATATTAATGAATCTGTCGTTGATTATTAATCATAAATATATTTGTCTGAGTAGTTCAGGTATTTTTTAAATGAATGAATTATCAAGATTGAAAACTTGTATTGTATTCGACTATAAACCGGACAGTTTTCATAAAAATATCAATGTTCTGATAATTAAGCTATATAATTGTTTTTTTAAAAACTAATTTACTAATTGAAAAGTCAGAAGTATTTAAATTTGGGAATTATAAGCAGCTAAAAAGGTATCGTATTCTACTGAGAAATAGACAGTTTTCAGAAAATTTCAACTTGCTGGTAATTAAGCGAGATTATTTTTAAAAAAAATATTTTTTCTGTGCCTATAAATAATTTAAAAAAAGTTTATAATTTTGAAAAAGTACAGGAATAGGTCCGAGTTAGGGAATAACTTTTTGCTCTGAACTTAGTTTGTAATTATTAAAAGCTAAAAATAATCCTAATATTTGTTGTAGATTTTTAGTTTTTAAATTTTATGTATAACTACTTTACATCACTTTCTTTCTTGCAATTATAAATATATTCCTTGTTAAGCTGTTCCTATTACACGTAAATAGTTTTACAGTATTACATGAAATTAGTGTACAGAACTGTTAAAATTACAGTATGACATAAAAAATACATTTTTCAAAAAAAAAGTAAAAAAAACTTTTTTTTGAACAGATTCGATTGCACTCTTCCCTTATTGTAAATAGATTTAAAATTTAATGTGAAATTAAACTATTGCTTTTATTTGGAATTATTCTTGCCATTAAAAAATTACTTTCTGTGATTTTCTTCTTAGTTTGTTGTTTTTTTCTCTCCTTAAACTTCTAGATAGATGTTTTTTTTTGCAGATGATCATACCTGTAAATAATTTTCTAAAAAATATATGTAAGGTGTTCCGTAACTACTGCTCTTAGTGTATATCTTCAAAATCCTTCTCAGACATGGAGAATAAAATAACACTTATGGATCACAAACTAATGCAAAAACAAAGAAAAAAAATATTGTTATCAAAATCTAATGATTCGTTAACAAAGAAGATTAAGATAAAAAACAACAAAAATTGCTTGATTGACAGAGGACACTGAAAGCAGGTAAAAAGTGACTAGCACTTATTAGCCAGCATTCCAACTGGTTTTTATGTTTTAAATCCAGCCTTTCCAAAATGGTGATTTACCAAATTTTGAAAGCGCTTTTGAGTTTTCCTCGATTAAATGTTAATTTGTGAACCCTAAAATGCATATTTTTTGACAAAGATTCTTAAAATTGATATTAAAGGTGATGATTAAAGAACATCCTGCATAGTTTTATAACAGAAAAATACCAATTCAGAAGTCTTCAGTGGAGAACCAGGATCTTTGACAAATTTTGTATGGACTTAAAATGCACATAACCAGTCGCCAGAATTTTCGCAAAAAGTTGCTGGAACGGTTGTCAGAATTTCCTTTTCAATTGACTCCGATTTGAATCACTATGTAATTTGTTCACTTGTAACTGAAATTTATTCTGAGGAGTGATCATTCAGAAATTCAATCATTGCAGAAATTCGATCGAAATTTCTATCATTCAGCAAAAATAGGTACTCCAGATTTCTTGTTATAAACTATCAACGATCAAATAATTCATTTGAATCTTCAGCAAAGGAGGAATTTTAACTTCCGTTGACTTTTTGAATTTTATAATTTGACATCCTGCCTTCAGACTGTTCCTGAAAGTTTTCGTTCTGAATTGCTCCAGTAGGTAACCTGAAAAAGGAATTTAAAAATTAGTAAACTAATTATACATTTATTGATTAATTGAATTAAATAATAGAGAAATGTACACACTAGAATATAAGTAAACTGTATCAAATAAGTGGTGATAAGAATTTCTAAGTTCATGATACATAATGTGTGATGTTGATACGATGAATCGAAATATGTTGAATTACCGAATTTTTGAGGATTATAGAATTTTTTTTGGAAAATAATTTCTATTTTAATTAAAAATTTTTCGAAAAGCTCTTTTTTTCCAATGGTAAGTAAATTATAATCACTGATCGATTCCAGACTCCCAGTGTAATAAATTATGACTGGTTTACGTTAAATCTGTCTGGTCACAAAGTCCTCCATGTTCCCATAACAAATAAATATCTCTGGGGTTACTGAATTGGAGATTGATTGTTCTGTGGTTCAGGTCAAAATTACAATCTGTGGATGAATGAATGGGTCCGCCTTATAAGCGGGTGTGGCAGAAGTAGAATTATTAGCCATAGATGGAGCCACTGGAAAACAAGAACAATCGCATCCCCTTTGCCTTAATGACCGATGACAACAACAACAACAATTGATCTATTCATGATTTTAAAGAACTTTTATTTCCAGAAGTTAATCTTTGATTGTTAAACTGACTTTTTTAAAATTTTAAAAAATAAGACGTTAATTAAAATAATTCTTCTCCGTATAATTTATATGACAATAATAATAAAAAAAAGACATTTAAAAGCCCATGTCCCTTGTAAAATAGTTCACATCTTAAGGACGCTTCGAATAACAATGATAGAGAAGTTTTTTCTTAAAAAACTCACGGTTAAAAGACGATATGGGGTTAATGTTGTTTTATGATGTCATTTTAGTAGTAGTTGTGTTTTTAAGAAAATATTAGTGATATTCATAAAAAATATTCGCATATTTTAGGAATATGTTTTTTGAGAAAGATTTATGTAGAAATGCTATTATTATATATACACGCTGGTACTCTGGTGATGAGACAAACTATGAGGGCTGTTGAAGCTCTCTAATTTATTGTTGATATTTAATATTGCTATGAAAATAGTGCTATAATAGTAAATATATAATAGAAAATTCTATTACTGCTATATAAATAGTACTATTTTTTGTATACTGATGTATGTTAAGAACTGAAGCATTGCAAAATAAATAATGATAATAAGAAGACACGAAAAAAGTTTATTTAGAACATATAAGGCTGTTGTGATTGGCTGTTAAACTCTTTGATGCAGATTGGACCCTTTATATATTTTTTCTGACTCTCTAATTACAAGCAAAAATATATTTTGGTATTTTTTAATTATAAAAAACAGTCTACTAGAAAAATCTTATAGATTATTGGAATCATATTTGTGCTAAAAGATAAAATCAAAGAGGAGTAGTTTGAAATTTTTTTTCATTCATATTTAAAAATTTATCAATAATTGGTTCTGCAAATTAAAGAAAGCAATGATAAATACTTTACTAATTGGAAGAGTTCAAATTATAATTATTTTTAATTTGCTAAAATACTTGAAAGGATATATTTTTTGAAGTAAAATAAATTCTTGAGAGAATAAAGAAGGTATAAGGTTTGAAGTAAAATAAATTCTTAATTAAGCCACTTTATTGAACTTGATAAAATTTTAAAACTTATATTCGAGTTTATACAGTAATTCATTCAAAAAAGTAAAACATTAGATTATAAACTTACCATTTTTGTAAATGCCGTCCTCCTAAGATGTCTGTGACAGTCTTCAATAGCAATTGTATTTTATAGAAAAGATCTTGATGAATTGTAGCATTAGGGAGGCGTTTCGCTGCTATTTAGTTTCTAAAATTCTTTTTAAAAGATTAAATAATGCGCTATAGTGCGTGAAAAAAGTTCTTGAATTGAAAGCCCTCTGATGCGCGAGTATTTCGTGACGTAATTCATATTTACGAGTTAGTGTACTGTAAAAAATGTTGCTGTATAGTTGCCACTATTTTTGGTGTTGACGTAAATTAAAATTTTTTCAGTCCATGTAGTCACATTTTTTATTTACTTTTTTACTGATGTAGTTTTATTTATTTATTTATTCAATTTTTGTTTGACTGGCAACAAATATCTTTATGCGCAATAGAAACAATTTATGGCTTCATTGCAAAACCATTTCGCTTAAAATGCAAGTACATGTTTAGTAATATCGTCGCACTAATTGTTTAAAAAAGCTGTTATTTCTTCAATTTTATATGATTTTTTTTCTCGATAACTACATTTTTGTACTTAGAAATCTATTTAGTTTATTTCAGCACCAAAAATTAGGACAACTATACTGTAAAAAAATGGTATAGAGTTGCAATCGTTTTTGGTGTTGAGGTATACTAAGTACAATTTTAAACAGTTATCGTGCAAGAATTACATAAAAATGACAAAATAACAATTGTTTGAAAGCATTTGTGCGAATATATTATTCAAAATGTTCTTGTTTTTTAAAACAATCCATATGGGCATTAAATATGTGTTATCAGTAAACAAAAAAATAAAAAATAATAATAATAACTACAACAGCAAAAAATATGACTACATGTACTGTCAAAAATTTTAGTTTATTTTAACACCAAAAATGGTGGCAACTATACACCAAAATTTTGTACAGTGTGTATAACAAAAATTTTTATAGTGTAGTTACAGCTAATGCATAATACTACTGACTTAATAATATGAAAAAAAAGATAGTTGAATTATCTTACCTTGAATTAAATGGCACAGTATCTTTATGACAATAATAGAATTCTTTTACTTAAAATCAGTCATTAAATCATTTTCTAACAATTTCAAATATTACAAAGTCACTGATTCAACTGGCATTCACTTACTTTTATAACTTGTACGAAGGTATAGTTTTGACTAAAATACGCATAGTGAAAATTTACAAGTTAAGAAAGGCCTTAAAAGCTTTCGTTTGTTAGTTTATTTCCTGAAAAACACGGTAAATTTTTAGAAGTATATTAAAAAAAATAATACATTAGTTTAACTTTAATAAACCATTTCCAAAAAAAAGAAAAAAAAAGATTATGAACGAAAATTTAAAATAAATGAGATATACTTTAACTCATTAGAAAAATAAATAATCGAAGAAGGATTTTATATTTGACGCAATTAACTTGATTAAAAACTTCATTCCATTCAAAAATATAAAAGTTGGAAATAACAGTCGACAAGTTTCAATCACTCAAAAATAGCACCCATTTGCAAGATTTTCAGACATGAATGAGGCGAAACTAAAGTGATTTGAAATATACGAAATGTAAAGTCGCTAACGAAAAATGGAAATATGAAGGCGAGAAACAAAAATAAAAAAATGGCAGAAGCTGAGAGAGAAAAAAATATGAAAAACGGAACAAGAAAAAGCCCAGTGGTCGAGAGAATCAAGTCTGCGCAAAATGCCTTTCCACTTACTATGGAGAGGTGGCGAGGAACTAATGTCGTTAACAATGGATCAGAATTTATATGAATAGAACAAGATTCCAACGCATCAAGATGAGCTGAGGTTACTGGAGTGAAAATAATGTTACCATCGTCGAAATTGAATTTATATCTAATATTCCAACAATGTACAACAATTTATGTCCGTTTTTTTTTATATTTCAAATCACTATTGTTTCGTCTCATTCACGTCTGTCAAGTTTTTATAATAGGTGCCTATTTTTGAGTACTTGAAACAAGTCAACTGTTATTTCTAACTTGTATATTTTTAAAGCGAATGAAGTTTTTAATTAAGTAACATTTTTCCGCTTCTGTTTCTTGAGATTATTTATTTATCAATGTATCTAGCTAATAAAAGTTCTTTATGCATCCATTGAAAATAAGTTTGTTTTAAATAAATAACTACACAATTTATCGACATTTCGTAAGAAATTAGTATTTGAATAGTTTCGCCAAAAATTAGTCTTCAGTATTTCATATGATAGAGTTATAGAAAAGGAAATTAGAATAATTAACATTCCTACCTTTAGTGCGGGGAAATTACATGCCATATGACTGATGTTTTGTCTCTAATTTCAATTCTAAAACAGTTTCGATCAAACATCTCAAAAAATTGTGAATTGAGTTTAATACATTTCTTTTGTATTCAATACAGAATATATATAAATCTGTAACATACATTTTAGTTATTTCGATAACATAATTCAATATTTTTTTTAAATCGGACTATAACAATTTGTTAAATGAAGGAGTTAAGTCAAATATATTCAATATAGAAGAAAACGCATCAAAATCAATTGGTCGTATTTTCCTTATGCAGTTAATATTGGTGTAAAAGAATCAGTCATATGACACATACTCCTTAAGGGGAACACAATCCTGAACTTTACTGTAAATCACGCGTTTCTTTGTTTGCATTTTCTGAAAGCTTATATTGTGTAAAAATTGTATTTAAATGATTTTCTGAAATTCGAATTTTAGGTTGAGTTACGGAGAATGTTATACACAGCAGAATCTTCAAGTCGTATTATATCTTAATAACTGTTATATAATAATTAACTGTTTACAGTGCCTTACCTTTAGAAACTGCACCACCAGTAGCATCGGATATATATATTCACCCGTTTTCACTTCGTTTTTAAGAAATTGTAGACAATTGAATTCTTAACAATGTAGCGTCAATTTTTTTTGTCTTTATTTTTTCAGCGTTTTTATGAGTTTGATTTTAAAATTGTAATTTTGAAGCTCATAAAAAATTGAAAAAGAGAGATAGAAAAAAGATAAGTCTTACGTTATAAATTTTGGTTGCTAAGTTAAAAAGATATGCATGGGTATTTTGTTACAATGATTTGTTTTATTTCCCGAACTTTTAAACGCACCTGAAAGAATAGCAATTGAAGTTCAAAACGTTGCATATGCCCCGGTCCCTCTGGACTGGAGTCCGATTCTTTAAACCCGCGCTGCATGTTATACAACTTTGTATTGGTCATTGCTGCACCAACAAAAATTTGAAGTTCTAAAAATTATTTTAAACCTGTAAGCCCCCCAGAAAAAAAAATATACTGAAATTTCCCTGCAACGCTTTACATTTTCAAACTTATATCATTGAAAAACAAGTTCTTGGATGCAGAAAACCCTGACTAATCTCAGAGAGTTGGCTCATAATTTATACACTATAAGCTTTTAGAAATAGCAACAACGAAAAAAGTCCATTTTCGATAAAATTCAGGTTGATATACGAATATTCTTTAGAATAAAATCACTTATAACATTTTAAATCATAAAAAATGACGAAAGCGTACCTTTCAAACTAGGCTTTTTGTTAGCTTGTTTCTTGGGAACTATGGCAGGCGATTGATGATGTTGATGTTTAGGGCATACAACTCCATTATTTTTACTTTTCTGAGATTTTAAAGGTAAGTTTCGAGGAAAAGCCATCATTGGAAAAGAAGTAATGATTAAAGCAGCTCCAACAATGAAAACACCTAACCACCAAGCACCGATCCACTGAGGGTCATCAGCTGTTATTCCAGGGTTAGCTGAAAAACAATTATTATTAGTTAACTCAAATCAACTCAAGTTAAGCTTACAAATAAACATTATACACTGAGAAAAAAATATGGCATGATTTACCATGTTTCTGGCTCAATGGGAACACTAAAAAACTCGGCAATTTTTACCGAAGCGCTTTGGTAACATTAATAAGAAAATATGGTTATATAGTAGGCGATAAAATTTGGTAAATGTTGTAAAGTTTGGTAATTATATCATAATATCTTAGAGCATGGCATAAAAACATTTTATTCAATTAATTCCGTAATTCAATTTTTAGTTTTGCCTTTTTTACAATGTGTGATATTAAGTATAATTTTGAAAGCCAAAATTTCCAGTAAACCGTTACCATATTCGTATGAAAGGAAAAATTACTAAATGAATGGTTCATGCACCCCATATTTTGGTTTTCTTAACCAGTTGTATGTTTTATTAATCAAAAATATCGTTACCATACAGTAAGGTAATTTTACCAGATTTCTTTTTCCGTGAGTCAATGAAAATATTTAAAAGTAATTCAGATAGCATACGTCATAGATCAATTGTCAAATCCAGTGTTACATGTACATTTTGGAGCTTATTGGTAAACTACAGCATAAAACCATGGCATAAAAAACTTTTATTCGGGGAAATATACTTTTCAGTTTTGTATTTTTTTGTAAACATGTGATAATAAGAACTATAATTTTGAAAACCAGAGCTGTTCTTTTTCCGTGAGTCATTGAAAATATTTCAAAGTAATTCAGATGGCATACGTCATAGGCTAATTGTCAAATCCAGCGTTACATGTACATTTTGGAGCTTATTGGTAAACTACAGCATAAAACCCTGGCATAAAAAACCTTGATTCGGGGAAATATACTTTTCAGTTTTGTATTTCTTAGTAAACATGCGATAATAAGAACTATAATTTTGAAAACCAGAGTTGTTGTTGTTGTTGTAGTTCCTTTACGTCGCACTAGAGCTGCACAATGGACTATTGGCGACGGTAAGGGAAATATCCTTGAAGATGATCCGAAGACATGCCATCACAATTTTGATCCTCTCCAAAGGGGATGGGTCCCGCAGTGGACTGATCGTTAAGACATGGTTCCAAGCAGATCACCGAAGTCAAGCATCACTGTTTGCGGTCAGTGTGCGGGTGGGTGACCACTTGGATTAGTCTGCGTAGGGACCGAGGGTGTGCGGTTAAACTGTTCTACCGTAAAGTGCTCGACTTCGAGTGCAGGTCGTCGGGCTACCGAAGCGGGGGTGCCATCCCCTCTGCAGAGGATCAAAATTGTGATGGCATGTCTTCGGATCATCCTCAGGGATGTTTCCCAGACAGTCGCCAATAGCCCATTGTGCATCTCTAGTGCTACGTAAATGAACTACAACAACAACCAGAGGGGATGGCGCCACCGCTTCGGTAGCCCGACGACCTGCACGCGAAGTCGAGCACTTTACGGTAAAACAGTTTAACCGCACACCCTCGGTCCCTACGCAGACTAATCCAAGTGGTCACCCCCCGCACACTGTCAGCAGCCAGTGATGCTTAACTTCGGTGATCTGCTGATCAGTCCACTGCGGGACTTTTGAAAACCGGAATTTCCGCTAAACAGATACCATATGAACGGAAAAATTACTAAATGAATGGCTTAATACCGTATATTTCAGTCTTCTAACCAGATGCGTGTTTTTTTTTTACCATAAATGTCATCAACATACAGTACGGTGAGTCACTGAATATTTTAAAAGTAATTTAAATGGCATATGTCATAAACCAATGTCAAATCCGGCGTTAAATGTACATTTTGGAGCTTACAGGTAAACTACAGGTGGAGAATGGCATAAAAACCATTTATTCGAGGAAATTTACTTTCCAGTTTTGCATTTTTTACCGAATGTGTAGTATTAAGAGCTATACTTTTAAAAATCTGAATTTCCGGTAAACCGTTACCATATTACCAAATGAATGACTTAAATACAGTATGTTTTAATTTTATTTACCAGAATGATACTTTTTTTTTCCAGAAGTGCCATTACCATACAGTAAGGTAATTTTTTCAGATTTTTTTTCTTTGTGTAGGCAATTTATATTCGCATAAACAGACATGAAAGGGAAATAAATAAAATTTGGAAAAAATTGGTCAGGTATTAGATTATAACATACTATACTACCATACAAAAGGAAGCCCGGGAAATAATTAAAGAAAAAAAAAGGGCGTTGTACTTTAAAAGCTGTGCATATATATGGCCCCGTATCACCCCCTAATACCAACCCATAATATTCAAACTTGGTCAGGCATTATATTATAACTTACTGCACTACCTATATATGGGGGTTTATAATTATTTTTACAGCTTTATACTCAAGCACCAATATGTTTTATGAGAGCTTTGCTCTACTTTCCTGTAATTGCAATTCTAAAAACTTTAGTCTTAAAAAATAAATAATGTTTAATAAATGTTACGGAAAGTGGATAAATACTATCGGCTCCGTTTTTTAATCAGTTCGGAGTAACGGATAATTTTATTTGCTAACTCCGGGAAACAAAAACAAAACACCTAAAATAATTTCTAGACGAAAAAAAAAGAAAGAAAAATAGAAACAACCCAAAGCAAAAACGCAAAAAAGAATTGCTTACATTTTGCTAATTCGAAATGTGAGCTTAGAAATGTCCTTTTTTAAAAGCCTTATTTAATTGTATTTTTAGAAACTTGATCTCAAGATTATTTCATAAAATACATAGATCATCCAAAACATTGGCTTTACTTTATTTCTCTGCATTCTTGTCTATCTTGTCTTATGAGCAATTTTATATAATTAACTTTTACAGGATGGTTCAAGGTCTAGTAATACAATTTGAAGGGAAAAACTCGATTTCGACGCTATTTATATAAACAGCAAATTACAGGATGAGCGGGACATCGATAGATAACCAGACAAAATTTTTTCTTTTGTGTCTTCTTAGACTTATCTAAAGACGTCAAAAAGTCTAAAGATAAACTTTCTTGAAATATTTTTTTTATAAATATAATAATACATATATAATAATATATATGCGAATATAATAATATATAAATAATAATACATCAAGTTTCATGGACATAAATTGTTTGCCCCCTTGATCTGCAGTATTATATATCTCAACCAACAATTATGTAGTCCGAATAATATATGCATTAAAGATTTCTCTTAGCATAATGCCTTTTATCTAACTTATTGAAGGCCGAATAGAAGTTAGATAAAAACAGATTTTAGATATCAAAATATAAGTCAGATAACTTATTAATTAAATCCTCAACTCCGGCGTGCTCAGGCACATTGAAAAGTATATATCACGGGCTCGAGTTTCATTTTATTTTATATTTCACAATCGGTGTTGAACAGCAAACCGATTTTTGCGTTTACTACTATCAATGTTTAACTCCGTAACTATGTAAGTTTGAACCCAACCCAGAACACGAAAAAATCCTGGATCAAGCATTGGGACAAACTAGAATTCGAGGAGCACTTTTTGGATGAAACTACCATCACTTCCGTTACAATGGAGAGAAAAAGTGCAAAAACCTCCCATGGTTAACCCGACGAAAAGAGAATTTTAATCCATGATCTGTGTACTACTGAGGATATTTTTAGATCAGAGCTGTGATCGATTAAGGCATTGGCAGGATTAAATCAGTCAGCTATTGCTATGATTCAAACCAGGGGCATTTTATTCGGTGATGAGAGGTCACATGATGTGGTCAGATTTTATTTTATTTTGTAACCGTCGTTGAACAGCTGATTCAATTTTGAGTTTACGACTACCTATGTTCAACTCTGTAGTCTTGTAATTTTGAATCTAATCCAATACCTGATCCAGAATTCCTGGATCAGGTATTGGGAAAAATTTGCCTTAATGCAGGACTTTTTGATGGAACTAACCTGCATTTTGCATTACATAGAGAGAAAAAACAATGAAAACCTCTCACGGTTAGCCAGAACTGCAAGGGGACTCTTACCCATGATTCGTCTGCCACTGAATGTATTTTACGTCAGTACTGTGGTCGGTGCGAGCCGGTTGCGAAATTCATATCGACCAGCCATCGCTGGAATTCGAACCCAGGTCACCAATTGAATAGCGAGCGCTCGATCTTCTGAACCCTATCCTCTAGCGGGTTCGGATTTGAAATCTTATGACTCTAAAAGTCAGATTGATCTCATAATAAAAGTAAAAGTATTTCCTAAACAGGCCGGCCAGGGGGTCAAGGAGGTTACGTCTCCACAAATTAATATCTATAAGTATGATGTTGGTAATGCATCTAGTACTTACTGCACACTAGCCGCCTTTACTTTTCAAACAAGCAGACACATATCGTTCTGCAGCTGGATGAGCTTAAGGTCATGACCAACTATAGAAGGTCAAGCATTTTACTGTGAGAACTCAACACTTTAATTACTGTGCTATAGCAGGCTCCAATCTTTTTTGCAAAAACGCATTTTACATTTTTGATTTTTGAAGCCTTTAACTGAAATACAGAATTCTGTGTCGATTACCCAATCGCGTACAGAAATATTAAATACAGTCGAAATAGTGAACCTTCAGGGGACCGAAATTTCGATTCACTATAACCGGTAGTTCCCTATATCCGTACTGCTAATAATTTTAACTAATTTTTCCGAACAGTTCCCTTTTATAACACATTATTTAAATAAATAACCCATAAAAAGAAATACAACAATGATTAAAAAGTAATAGGTAGTAACAAAAAATGTGTTAACTTTTATATTTTGTGACTCTTCCTTTTTACGTACAAAAAATTTAGACATGGCCTTTATTGAGAGATGGGAAACTGAGGTAGAAGAGGTAAACATGAAAAAATGCTTAAACCTACATTCCACTGAATAAATGGGTTTAAAACTTCGGTATATGTATTTCATGTAGAAATTTCAAAATTACCGAAAAATAAAGAAAAAATCAGTCGAAGCAAGAAAAAGTTCATAATATCCAATTTCCTCTCTTCTTTTGGCTCATTATATCCACAAAAAATAATATTATATGTGTATAGCAAGGCTCGGGAGCGAATATTCCGTTCACTATATCCGGAAGTTCACTATAAACCATGTTCACTATAGCGGTGTTTGACTGTATAAAGCTTAAAATCATTAAGTGTAGATGAAGCATTCTTTTTCTATGTAAAAGGACATAAAGGTTTTAGATAAAGATCAAAATAAAAATTTATATATAAAAAAATTATTTAATGTAACTTCTTTCATTCTAACACAAATCTTCATATGAATTATTTTTAAAGAAGCTTCTTGAAATGAAAAAAAAAAGTGAAGTAAAATTACCATTTCAGGAACAGAAAGGTTTTTGTCACATGATACAAAGTAAAGAAAGAGAAAGTGACTTGAATATTAATGAGTCAGACGCGTCTCCCATTTCTGATACCCTGATGCGCGACAGATTCATGATATCTATAGGATCTGGTTTTTTGAGAGAGTAAAATGAGAATTTCATTTCCTTCAAAAACCCGCATGAATACTTTTTTTTCCATGTGAATTTAAATATTCATATCTTCATTGGTGCATTGAAATGAAACTATAAGTTCATTTTCATTTTAAATGTCGTCGTAAATCTGTTGAGAATGTGCTCATTGGTTACTATTAACATTTAAAGAAATTTGAAAGATTTTTTTTACCGACGCAAATAAGGAAAAAGGGAAACAGATATTTTATTTTATCGGCTAATTTAGCGACTTAGTAAAAACCAAAATTAACATAATTATGAGCAAGACTTAAAAGTATGTATTGAGAATGAGCCAATAACATTCATTTCCTTTTTATATACTTATTTGTTTTTAAAAAAAATTAGTGTCAATTCATCGAATGCATTTTAAAAGCTTTAAAATCTACTCTTTTCATTCAGTTTTTTCATTTTAAAGTAATTTGCAATTAAAGTAATTTCGAGACACAGGTGCATTATAAAGAGCAATATATAAGGATAGCTATTCTTTATTTTGAAATAACTCTAGTAAAATAATGCGTCCTGAAGAGAACCTTTACGTCTATTTCATCTCTCTCTCTCTCTATCTGTATATATATATATATATATATATATATATATATATAT